TACATCAAATAACTCAGCCGCGACTATTTCTAATATTGATTTGCACCATTATACACGAATTATAAGCGCGAAATCGCGCGACGATGATAAACTTTCAAAAAACATAATCAAAAAGCCGTACAATAAAATTGCTCGACACTCGATACGTGTTATAATAATATTATTATGATATAATCGATGCGTGATTTGGATCTCGAGATGAGACAGTATCCGTATATGAGAAGTTCTGTATGTATCATCGGCCAATTCCGCGACTATAATCGCGATTGAAATTTTGGCCATTGAACGCGACGGTAACGAATGTTGACAAATTGTTCTTAAGTGGATTTTTTTTGAGCGTTTAATGTCTTTAAGTCAAAAAGATAGACGAGAAAAGCTTCGATGTTTTCGGCAGCATCAATCATGGAATGAGTCGTTATTTTTACGAGGAAACATACATTTTCATGTTCAGGAACACCTGTAGTAAAAAGACCAATAGAAATTTCCTTCATTCATCATTTTTCCTATGTTTCTGGAAAACCAATAAAAAATTACAAGTATCCATATCAAACGTAGATTCAATCTCGATTTGAGCTTTGAATTTTGCCAATGATTTGTAGAATCGCTCATATACACCCGCAAAAAATCAAGGTGTTCACGCGTGTGGAAATTCAGCACGTGCCGAGGGGTTGATGATCTCGATAAAAAAAATTTACAATTGTAACACAATATAAATAATAATCGTTATTTCATATCGGTGCGACGTCGCGCGCACTAATACATCGTCTAATTTGCCGACAGCTCCTTTTACACATGTTACGCGATTTCAAGCCCGATTAATCGCCCGCGGACAGAAAGAAACACAATAACAGAGTACTTAAGCGCCGATCGTCGCCGCCACCGCCGCCTCGCAGCGGTATATGCAACACTATTGTTACGCGATCCGATCCGTTTGCACAGTGCATTCAACTTAATGTCGCGATCATCGTCGCGTACTCGTAAGTACATGTATATATAGATGTATGTATAGACGACGAGCGCCAAGAAATGCCAATTACCGCTTATTTCCGGATTGTTCGCGAAGATGTGATCCGACACGAGTTGCAGCCGCAACAGCAACAGCAACACAGTGTCAATTTTCGAGTGTAAAAGACGCGGCGCGGCGCGCGTCCGACCTAAATTTGTTTTTTCAGTTACACGAGTTGTTTCTCCTCGTTTATTAATGCTGTTTGAAGAAGTCCAAGGCGCTACACTCGTTGATTAACCGAAGAAGAAGACGACGAAAAAAAAAACTGATTATAAGTAGTTACGGTGGGTTTTCTGCAAAGTACTCGAGTAATTGCATTATAATAGGCCTTTTAATGTAAATTTATCAAGAGCCGGCGTAATCTCTCGCGCTTGTATAATATAGTTTCGGCTTACGAGTTTGAAATATTTGCAAAGATAAAAAAAGGCCTGTAATTGCCAATTTCAAAGATTAGAGCCGAAAGACGACGACGATTTCGAAAGAGTTGGCGAAACATTGTACAATCGCGCTAGCGAATATAGAACTACTATACACATTGCAGAGTAAAAGTGAGTCACTTTCGTAGAATCCGTGCACCGCTGCGCTCGATATGTAAGCAAGCATAGGTACGTCGAAAAATATGCTGTTAATTTATTAGTGTCAGGGAGCATATAGGTATGAGCTCGATCGTACGCTGCGAGGTAAAAAAAAACCTATATATTCTGGCTTACGCGCCATTTAATTATCATAATTTAGCGCGACCACTGCCAAGTGAGAGATACTTCGAATATTTCGGCAAATTCGCGCGCACGTACATAGATGCGCGCCAGTAACGATTTTCCACGAAATTGAACTTATGAAGATGTGTTCTATCGCGTACACACAAACACCTGTCAAGCGAGCTTCTTTGAATCCGATAAACATCCGCGCTCTAAAGTCGGTTCTCGCTTAACCCTCGAGTTGGGTTTTTGCCTCTTAATTAACACGTCGATGCGCGTCAAGTAACGCAACGCGCTTATGACATTTGTATACATTTTTTCCTGTCGGCTCGACTAATCACTAAACAATACGAAAATATGCACGGCATCGTCACCTTTAACGACGTTCTCGTTGTTTCATTTCCTTTTTTTATGTATTTACGCAGTGCGAGTTTGAAATTCTTATCGCGACAATTGAAATATCAACACTTTGTGATCCTCGTGAGGAAGTACGTATTAATACGCGCTTCGTGATTCCACAAATCAGCCGGGGGTATAGAGAAAATTAATCGGATCGTCGGAGCCGATTTAGTCGAAAACGTCGACGAACGCCCAGTTATACACGGCGTATATAATACGAAAGTGAGTGAGAGAGAGAGTCGATAAATGGCATATTTAACTGCAAATCCAAGCGTGTGAAATTTACGGACACAAGTTTCACGAGTGCGCGCGGGTACGAGGGTTTAATGCGCCGCGCGCGCACAGCTGCCTCCGAGCAATAGGTCAATTGTGATTTCGCCTTTCCACGTGCATACGTATACACAGAGATCCGTCGACGAACCGATTGAATTTTAATTGTCCCGTCGATATATAATCGAATGGAAATGATCGATTTGCGACGCGGGGGTGAACTCGCTGTCTCCTGCACCGATGCTATACATATATAACACACCACTCCGAAGATCGACTGGTAGTTTATACCAGAATACCCCCATACCCGTGCATTGCAGGCATGTTTTCGTCTATCTCGCGACGTCGCTTCGTTTTTCTATTTCTCGTCTCTCTGCCTCCAGATGGAGGAAAATTTCGAATCAATGAATCAAACGCCCGATGCGAATAGTTCGTTCGTCTCTATATAAGCGGAGTGCGGATTAAGTTTGAGGCATATTTGTCGCTTATATTAGTTCCTCGAAGCTGGCGCTGACTCGTCTCTCTCTCGTGATATACTTGACAATGACACACTTTTTCATCGCGCGCGTATTATATACATGTGTGTCCGCTATGTGTGAGTAAGAAATATATATCTCGCGCGCGCCGCGCAAAAGGCTCGCAACCAAGATCCCAATCTATAATTGCTCTGCACTTGAAATGCTCTGCTTAATATTATTATGTTCTTTTTTTCCTCTATGCGGGCCCGTGAAGCCAAATGAAGTTTCGATGATTTCGCATTTGAGCAATCGCGAACGGGGGAGAAAAGAAAATAACACATAAATATTGCGCCCCCCCTGACCGAGTTCATCGGCCGGTTGTGCGTTGTTTTTTTGGCCTCGAGAAATAAGGAAAAAAATCGGGAAAAATCCCGTTCCAAAACCATCGACTTCGAAAAATGTTAATACTTGTTGACGCGCTGTTTGCGTTTTTGTTCTATTATAAAAGTAAAAACCGAAGCGAACAAAAAAAAAATCAAAACTTTATGACTCTCTACGCGAAAAGAGTTATAATATTTTTTTTATGGAGAAACGCACGGAAATTCGTTTTATAGCGCAGTAAAAAGAAGCGTACTAATATTCGCGAGGCTGCAGGCTTCCTCCGGGTGCGCGCGAAGGATATTTTCTTGCATATTTCATATATATTTTCTCAAGGTACCGACTGTACGTACTACATGACGCTCTTATAAATCCAGCGCATTTTCGTGAATCGAGTCGTTGATTGGCCGGCAATTGACTTTGAAATGTTTGCGTTGAGTATATGGATACGCGAAAAAGAAGCAAAACGAAAATAGAAAATATTGGGGATTACGCGTTTTCCTGCAGGCAGGTTTATCATTATTGTCGTCGGGTTTTCTAGAGTACGCGCGATTATTCCGCGAATGCACGTAATTGACTCTAATACAAAAGAAGAAGAAGGAGAAGAAGAGGAGGATGACTGCTGACGACAAAAAAGCGATAAGACGACGAATGGCAATTCACCTTCTGTCGTTATTATCTGTATACACACATGCACGACGACGTTTTAAATGCCGCGGCGAACGCGGCAAAAGTTTAATGCGGACGCGACTCCTCCTACGCAGACACGAGCGTGTAGTATACGTACGTACGAACGAACGAAGCTCTTTAGCCGAGGCACGAATTGGAGAGGAGATATGCTCGTTGACCCTGACGTGGTACGAGAGATTCAGGTGCTAATCCAAACTGCAATCAGTAGCCTATTCAAACTATGATATTACGCGCGTCGGTATGTACGCTATGTATAATAATTACACGAGTATTCGAAAGATTTTCGGACTCGCTGGGTACGTACTACTTGGAATGTAAAAATATTCGCGCGCGGCTTCAAAGGATTATTTCTCCGCGCGCGCGTAAATATTGATTTTGAACAATTTTTTTTTCTCTTCCCGAAGATTGGATTCGCCCTCGCGCAAGATTCCCACGCGTGAAAGTCGTGGCGCGGATGGTAATTTTTTTCATATTTTCATTTTCTTTTTTCTTCATTTTAATCGCAGAATTTATCGGCAGTTTCGTATAAAAAATCATCGTCGATTTTCGAGAGAGCGAAGGCTTATTCATTTTTTTTCTTCTTTCCATGCATTAACATAACATTGTTAAAGACGCGCACGAGACGCAGACGTACATCGCAACGTATTATATTATATATATTATATATACACATATTCGCACGCGCGCGCATACAGACACGCGTTGAATGCGACAAAGGAAAAAGAAAAAAAAAATTGAGACTTCCAGTTCGAGCGGTCACTGTTGATGTAAATCCAGTTCGATCCGGTGCTATCTGCCGGTGCCGCGAGTCGTGCGCGCGAAAATGAACGTCGTCGCCGCGATGTCATTTGGTTCTTTTTTTTTTTTATTATTCTTTTTCTTCTTTTTTTTTTATAATAGCGAGCGGATTGAAAGAATTTATACAGCTCGCGGGGATATATAATATCGGGCTTTTGGGAGCGGAAAAAAAAGTTGAGCGAAATAAAACAGCGAAAAAAAAGGTCGCGTCAAATGCGCGCGTGTGTAAGTTTACGCAACGATTTTTTTTTTGGGCTAAAAATATGATTTTTTTTTTTTTAAATTAGAGCAATTGTCAAATGTGTTTGACTTCATGATTGAACTAATAATAATCCGCACTTATTGCGTTCCGAAGAAATGAGAGAAAATAAAATTTTAGATTAATGATAAATTTTTCCTGAAATATTCAAGTATTTTTAAAGGAAGGTTGATTGATTCGCTTCTTGTATGATTCATAGAACATCACATATCAATGAAAGTATTAAAAATTTCTTTATTTTAATCTTTGTCGACGCCACTTTTTTTTCGATGGTAATTTTTCCTAAAAAAAAACTCGTGATAATACTGAATGGCCAATTTTTTTATCATTAAATACAAGTAAAATTTGGTATCAAATATGACTTAGATAAAGTAGACTTGAGAATAATAATTTTTTTTTTTGTTGAAAATTATCATTCGTCGCGAATAAAATATTCTTCAATTGTACTAATATACGATCGATTGCGTACACCTAACACTAAAATTTGCACACTGACTATTTCATTGCGTCAATAATCGATATGATTGAGTACTGACGAATGCGAAGAAGAAAAAAAATCTCAATATTAATCATTAAAATAATTTTTACAATTTGCACAGCACACGTAAAACACACAAATGAATCGCAGTAAATATATGTAATATTAACATTACGACACAAAAGTAATATTTATAAGACTCGACGCAATAGACAGTCCGCCTTATTTTAATAGATTTTTCACGTATCGTCCTTTGCACTTTCAGCTCGCAGCTGCTCCACGTCGTCGTCGTCGACGTCGTCTACCTGGCAAAAGTCCTCTCCGCACACCTTCGAGCGAGGGGAATTTTTGTTCAAGCTCAGAGTGGACACGTGCTCGATGCTCTGCCTGGTGACTTTAGCGATTCCTCGCCTGATGTATTCGTTGAGAAGCGACTCCTCCTCCACGGTCAAGTCGGACTCCTCGTCGAACAAATCTAGCGAGTTTATGCACTGACAAGCACTTTGACAATCGTCGATCTTACAAGTACACGCGATACGATCGTCGCACGCCTCGTCCCCCTCGTAATTGCTGGGCGTCGAGACGCAGCTCACGTTAGTCTTTGTAACTTTGGCAATTCCTTTACGAATATATTCGTCTAAAATTTTCTCCTCGTCCGCATAAAAATATGTTGCTTTGTCACTCTTACCTTCTAATAAATCTTCATTACCCTCCTGTATCCTGGTTATTGTATCATCTTTTTCGCTTAATTTTGCACTTTTAATTACACTTATTTTATTTTTTCTTTCTCCGCTTTCATCTCCCTCCTCGTCGTCGTCGATCGTTAAAGAACTTAAACTACTAGCTGCCACTGACTGAAGTTTTATTGGAGTTGACTCTTCTTTAAATACTGCTACATCATCTTCAAAAATACTATGTTTTGATATTTCTTGTTGAGAGGAACATGGTTCATTGGTTTGCATTTTTGGTAAGGACTGTTGGGTCCTTTTTTTATTGGGTTTCTTAAGTTTCTGTTGTCCAGGTGTTAATTGAGCTGGAGAATCTGGAAGATTACTGGGAGATACAGCTTCGCTAGTTCTAAAGCTGAAATCACTTACGATAGAACTGTGATCATCACAAATAGATTGTTGTTCAAAACCGCTGAGAGATCCTAAAGAACTGCTTCTTGAAAACATTAAAGGAGTCTGCTCAGTAAAATGATCTGAATCTCCAAAATTAACCATTTTATCATCTCTATCTTTATCGTCAATTGGCGACTGTGATGGAGTTACATTAATGATACTTTCTATCCTTTCATCATCACATTTTTCATCATCTGAGTCATCTGGTAAATATATACATCTATTAGAGTTTTCACACTCTTTATCCTTATTTTCTAGTTCCATGTAGCTTTTTAATTGACTAAAGTCCTTTGGTATTTCTAGCTGTTTTTTAGAAGCTCCATTAATCTTATTATAATTTTCTGATTTTTCAATAATTGTATCTTCAATTTTAATATCATCAAGTCTCAGTAAATCTGATGTTGATGTAGAAGTAGAAAAAAACAAAGGTGTTTCAAATGGAGTTTCTTCTGTGATATATGTAGTAACTGTATTTTCTCGTTCATTGCTCTTTGAAATATGTTCAAAATAACTAATTTCATCTACAACTGAGTTTTCCTCTGTATAACGCAAACTATAATTCGTTGTTTGATCAAACTCAATCAATGTCAAATTATTACAAGAATGATACAATCTAGAGCAAAAATTATCCAGCGTTGTATTTTTAGAATCATGTCTTACTATTTGTGCCGTCATCAGCTTTTACTTTACTTATTTTTATCATTCTTTAATAAATTTTGCAGGTAACTGAAATACATAATTCATAAATTAGTTTCCCATTAATCATAATGAAATAATCATTTAAAAATTACATTACCATTTCAACACAATGAAAGTTTGATGAAATTTGCAGCTTATGTATAATTGTGACTTCTTTTACAATAAAATTTTTTCTTTGGTTGTATATTACTTTAAAATATCAATGCCCATAGCTCTTTCCAATAAGAATACTTTTTGTATATTTACAATTTTCAATAGATCTATGTTTTTTTTTCACAGCTTTTTTACCCTGTAGTTTGATTCATTTCCGCACCACTGATGCGACGTAGTTACTTGAGAGTTCTATAACACAAACAAACAATCTGAATGTATGAAAATTTTACTTATTGACATTTTTAAACGTATTGAAATGAAATTTCGAATGAAGTACAAAACTACAAAAACGTGCATTTGACAAAAAAAGCCATAAAAAAAAATACGGCGTCGCATCGCAAGTAGCTTATTGTGCATCGAAACGAGCTTGCAGCTATAGTCAAGGGGTTATAGCCATGGCATCGAGCAATTGCACTCCGCTGCAGTTTTGCATGCTAATAGACGGCAACAAAAATGTCCTTACTGTTTTTGTATACTTGGTTCTTAAGTTCCATGTCCGCAAGCTTCACGTCCACGAGCTCGAGATCCACGGCCAATTATGAACCAGCATCGTGCGTGCGAAGCTTTTTCCTCGATGTTAAAAAAACATCGTGTGCACTTAGCAGAAAAATAAAATTTTTATGCAAACATCCCCCCCGCGCGCTGTATGGAGTGCGACGGACGACGACGATGCCGAGGCAGGCGGACGCGCGACCTGCATAATGACGATGCGCCGGGGGTTTTTCGCCGGGAGCATCCGATAGATGGCCGACCGATGCAGCGAGACGTGCGAGCGGCGCGAGGTCACGTGATCACAACAATTCACTGCGACTGTTTGTTGTGTATGTGTGTGTATACATGCTCATGCCATGCGCCGGTGAATCTCGCGTAGAAGTTTTTGAATGTTTCGCAAGGTTTTAACGGTTTTCGCGTGGAATTATCTAAGTTGAATTCCTTAAAAAGTGCGGGTTTGGTGAAAGTGATCGGATCGGATCAATGATTTTTTGGAATAATGAAGTGAACGTCCTTGAGCGAGACTTTTCATCGCCAAGCTCGCCGGTGTTTTCATGACATTTAAAAAGGCGCAAGTTTGAACAAGTCTGACACAATTATCGAGGCGCCGCTGCTCTGCAGCAGTGGTTTTCTGCCGGTGAGTTACAATTGGAATTGATGCATTTTCTACTCATTCATGAATGAAAAGTTTGACCCAGTGAACGGTAATTGCTATGTTATTGATACGAGAATTCGAATGCAATCGTTCGCTGCGAGTCCGTGCGATAATATACTTCAATTTTCGGAGTTATTTAGTAACCTAAAACGTAAACATCGATTTGTTTACATTGTTTGTAATCGTTTTATTATTATTTTAGCAAAATGACGGCATTTTACGAGGAATGTAAAAAATGGATCTCCATGGCTCAATCGATGGAGTTGGATAATTTAGAAAAATGTTTAAAGGTATTTTCATTTATCATTTAACTTTTAATACAGTATACCTTGTCAATGTACTACAGTTAATTTATGCACATTTTCAGTCTCTGAACAAATCAAAAGGCTCTGATCAGAATAAAAATCTGTTTAAACTTCTCTTGCACATGTCTCATTGTGCAGATCGCTGTCGCAAAGAAAAATTATCAAATCAAGTGCAGTTATATAAAATTACTAAAACCATCTGTGATAGTCTGACAGAAGTTCCAGACAAAAATAAATTATTTAGTGCAGTATTCTACATTGTGATCTATCTACTGGAAAAAGAGTGCTATAAAGAAGCCCAGGTCATTACAAATTATGTTTTACCTGGAAATTTATTGAAAGACAATGATTTATTGGATGGCTCAAAATATCAACAACTATCTGTTTTGTGGTTGAATTCACTGGGAAAAAAATTTGAAAATAAATGGAAAGAAATCAAAACTAAAGAAGAGGTATTAGTAGACACAAATCTATGTGAATTGATTCAATTTCATTTGTCTACTCTAGATTATTGCGATGATAAGGATGGATTCTTTCTAAAGACATTGGATGCTTATTTTAAAAAATTTTCTGACGTACCACTAAAAGAAAGTTTTCCTTATGTGTTTATAGTTATTCAAAAGGCAGCACATTTAATCACTAATTTAAAAGAATATGCACCAGCAGATGCTTATAGCATGTTCATTCCATTAATTGGTTCATATTTTTTCAAAAAAAGTGAAAATTTAAATTCTGTTCTTGATTATTACAGAAAATGTGATATTTACTTTGTTGATTGCTTAAAAAAATCTGCTCCAGCATATAATTGTTACAAATTTTTCAGAGAGTATACAATCAACTTGTTTGAGACTAATTTCATGTCTGTAGAAATCGGAGCTAGATTTGATAAAGCCTGTAACACATTAGATATTATTACAGAAAAGTATGGTTCTAATAATCATTGTCTCATAGAAACTATGGCTGCAATATCTAGTAGTTTTGATACTATCTTTAATAAATGGGAAAACGTTGTAATGAAAAAGTTTGTTAACACTAAACTAACAAATGAAAATATTGTTACAATGGGAAAATTTGTGAAAAAATTTGTTGCTATTTATAAAAATCGACGATTTAACAAAAACTATATTTGCAAAAAATGCCCAAATAATACAAAGTGTCATATCGAAACAGAAATATTTAATGCTGCTTCTTTTGCTTCATCATATGTTAAAGTTCTCACAAAATATACATTAGAAAACATGAATGATGAAATATTTTCTTGCTGCTCAAGTATTTTAGAAGAATTATTAGCAATTTTCAATAAACTAGATGAATCCAATTGTCGTTATGTTAGTCCAATGTGGGCCATATGTGGTAGAACTATTTTTAATTTTGGATTAATAAGCGAGGGCAAATACTCAGCTCAATTAATACATTTATATGAACTATTATGCAAAGAAGTTATCAAGAGAGATGGTCTAAACAGTCAAGTCAGTAGTTTTGGACTAGAAAATCCAGTTGCAACTGCTTTGCATCGCCTGTGTAATGCAAACTTTAATCAAGGTAAATTTTTTTTATTGTTGAGAATTTACAAAATTTTAATTTTGATTTTTAATTTCAGAAAAATTCGAAAATGCTCTAGTTTATACAGCTTATAATGCACTTTTGAGTATAAATGAAACAAGAAAAAGAAAAGCCTGTGATATGTGGGCCTCTCTTAAACTCAAACTCATTGAAAATGAAAAGATTCAAAAACTCACTTTATTAGAATGTTTGAGGAAAGACACTGAAGTTGCAACTAAATTGGGAATCAAGTTAGATTTATCAACATATGATCTAAAAGACTTATGTTTGCGAGAACTCAAGTCTTTACTAACTTTAAAAAGCAATGTAACAGTTGCTATGAAAGAGACTATAGCTGAACTAGGTAAAAAAAAATTATTTACATTATCATTTACACTCTATTTTATGAAATTGAATTTTCAGAAATTATAAATCATCCTATTGGCTATGCACAAGGTGTATTATTGCTATGCTTTCATTCAATGCAACTGATTAGCAGAGATTATATTTTAGATTACATTAACAAAGCCTTAGAAAAATTGAAAAAGTTAAAAACTCCTGTGGCTCAGTGCATGGTAGCAAATTTGAAATTCTTTGTTATTATAGAAGAATTTAAAGCCAGGACAAAAGCTATATGTGAACAAATGGATGACGCAAGTTTCACGGTCAAATCATTCAAGATTATTCAAGGTATAAAAAATGATGATTTGGAAAAACAAGAAGAAATTGTACCTACTTATGGTGGAATCACTATAGAAGAAGATAACAAATATTCTCAAAGAATGCGTAATTGTCTAGATTTATGGGAAATGTGCATACAAAAGCATTCAGTATGTAAATTTTTACTCAGTCTGTCCATGAAAAAAAAAATATATGTGTATGAAAATTGTTATCTTTTTAGGCTACTATCATAGAAGACTGGGAACCTAAATTTACTCTTGAAACAATTCTAATTTGTGGAGAATATTGTAGATTATATAAATTTAGTATTGTTGAAGCTAGTGTTTGGAGAATCGCTCATAAATTAGCAACAGATCTTAATGATTCTGTTGCTTGTATATATGGTATAAGCTTTTTTAATACTTCATATACATGCAATCGTGTATTATACTTACTTGTAAATTAAAATTATTTTACAGTTACAAGCAGAAGTGTATCCATTAGATCAATTAATGAGAACTGGATTAAGGATGCTGAAAACCGTGTCGAAACTATAAAAAATTCCTCAAAAGCAATTGAGACAGATGCAGTCATTTTATTTTTGTTGAGCTTGGCAGACTTTTACTTTGATTGCAACATGGTAATTTCTTCATAATTTTGAAGTTTTTATATTTTACTAATACAATTTTGATCAATTTCATAGATCGAAAAAGGAAAAGAATTATTAGACCGCGCAGAAAAAATGAACTTTTACGACATGCTTGCTAACGCTAAATTGTTCATTTACGCGACAGAAATAAAATTTCGAAATTATTATCTAATAAATACAGATCCTAGTCAAGAAGATTACTGCAAATTTTTGGTTGAAATTCATTATTCTATGATCAATCTTCACGATATTCTGCAAGGTACGATGTAAATACTTTACTCAAAATTAGGACAATTTTTAAATGAACCCAATTTCAGAACCCTGTCGATTTTGGAATATCAAATACTTCCTTATGGGTATGGACCAGTTACTAGAAACGATGTGCACCATTGTCATTCCAATGAATAGTCTTCTTTCGTTCCGAGAAATAATCGCTCATCTCACTTATGGTCTGGCATTCGCTCAAAAGCACGGCATCACGCTCAGGATTGCTCAACTTCTCAAGTATCATATCAACATCGATTTGTTACGTCTTCAAATTGAACAGTGCGAAACGAGACTTCAAGATCTTGAACACATTTTGTGCTTGGAAAATTTTCAAAAATCGATGAAGACACGATTACCCGATGAAATAAGTTCAGAGGTAAAGGTAAAATTTATAATAATTACAAAATACTTTAAAGAACTTTTATGATTAACAATATTTGTTTGGGCTGCAGAATTTTCATCCAGGTGTGCGTGATGCTGGAATCACAATGTCCCGAAACAATGCCTCGCCTGAACTGAAGAAAAAGCTATTTGATCTGCCGAGTTTTATCGATCATTCCTCGCGGTGCGAATGTGCGGAATGCACTAATTTATTGTACCAATATTTGGTATTCACTTGTGCACATCAACGCGCTCAGCTCTACAGTATCATGAATTATCCTCGGGAAGCTGAGCAACATTTTCATTCGGCTTCCGTCATCAAAGCTCACTTGGATGATCGTGATACCGACAAAGTAAGGCAGCACAAAATGTTCAAATGGAAGCGAAAGCAAGAATTCGTCATCGACCGAATGTTATGCATGCTCGATTTGAGTATGTTTATCATTGACTTTAAAAGCGATCGGAAGGATGATGCATTGATGCTGATCGAAGAAGTCTTGGAAATTGCGAAAGAGAGCGACCTAACAAAACATTGCGTTACCGTTTATGCGATGGAGTTATATTTCCAACACCATGTGTACGAGCTTTTCGAAGACAAAACGAGTAAGCTAAAATTAAATTTGTGGATTTTTTTTTCATTGATAGAAGGATGAAAATAATTAAAAATTGTTTTAGGTATATCCGTTCCCCATGACATACCGATCACCATTACGAATAAACCAACTGATGGTTGTACTACTCCAAAACAAGCTGAAAAGCCTGTAAGCAGAAATCGTCGCGGTAAACCGAAGTCACCGACGCCTGTGCCCGTGCCAGTGATTATCATTCAAGATGACTCGCCAGTAGACAATAAAACTAAGGATAAAACAACAAAAACTGAGAACGCCGAAGCGGAAAAGAAATCTGCTGTTCCGCGAGTTAATGCTCGTAAGGTCCGTCGTAAGATATTGGTTGACGAGGTGGATGAAACGACGAGTTCGGACGAGCAAACGATAACGGTCAGAAGAAGCGGTCGGCTAATGAAAAAGAGTTTGGATGGCCCCCAAAAGGCAAGTCAATGAGAGTAACTTGAGTGTAATAGATATCGTCGAGATAAGAATGACGATGAAATTCGTTAAGACTTACGTCTTAGAAATTAATTTCTTTCCGATATCTTTGCTGAGTAACAGCGAACTCATGCTTCCCATCAATTTCAGTCTTATTACTATCATTTAAGAGAAAAAACGAAAGTTTTAAAAATTGTTATTGTTATTGTTTTAATATGTCGATAATGAACTTGAGCTAATTTTAATCTTAGAACCAAATATTTATTTTCTTAGCTGCTCTTTATCTATTAGATCAAATTCAACTAAGATTATCTATATTATTTTTATAAGATGCCTTTAAATATTAAATTGCATCTAATTGTAAATAAATCGTAGTTTATATATTTTATTACAGTCTCGAAATGGGAGATAATAATTTTTTACGAATCGGTAATTACCATGACGAATAGTCTCAATTGAATCATGAAAATAAAATAACGAAGGATGTTTCTATTGAGAAAAAAATAAATATATATATTGAATCTATTTTCCTATGAAATTTTTTTATTAATTACAAAATTAATAGTATCTTAATGAGTATATTTACATTATTTGATGAATGATAAATAACCATGCCTCCCGCAGATCTGGCAATAGGAATATAAACTTATTTCCTCAATTTTCAACGGATATCAACGCTTGCAGCTAAGTAAAAAAAAAGAATAACAATAACAACAAGCCATATGTACAAGCTTCTCTTACACGTGCAAAATATTGCCTCCTCCTCCTCTTCTTCGATTAGCTCAATTGCTGCGCCAGTTCTATCAAAGCCAGTGCCGCTATCCATCGCTTTTTATCCTCCTGCACTGCGGGCCTCGCGACTTTGGCATTATTACTTTTATTAGCGCTGAATCTCGACAGTCTGCGATTTCCACGATACTGCTTTACCACGCCCTATAATTCGTTAATGTGCACGATACGATGCGTTATATATAAAAAAAGGGATGGTGGAGGTAGGGAGGCAATTAAAGAAAAAGTGTCGTCTCAAACTTACGCTCGACCGAGTGAAATAAAACGAGAGGTTTTCCTTATCGGCCTGGCCATCCTTGATATTGTTGTTTTGCCGACGTCGGCGTCTCCCGCGGCTCCTTCGAATCGCCGGCTCATAATCCAGGCAAAAGTTCTTCAACCACAAGCCGTCGCTGCTGCTCTTCTTCTCCTTCTCCTCGTACGTCTCGACGTCGACGATCTCGTTCTCGATCGACACCACGTCGATTTGGTCGTTTTCCTCGTCGTTCTCTTCCTCGTCGTTGATTTTTCCAGTCAAGGTCAAATTGGACTCGATATCGTCGGCTTGGTGGCGAGCTTTGGAGCGATGATTGCCGAGAGCAGCCGCATAAGTGTGATCCAGTCGGTGTTGATTGGCCAACTGCAGGCTCGGACGATATTTGGAGGATTTGAAACGCATCGTCCCGCTGTTGGATCGGCAGCGCCCATCCTCCGCTGCTGGCATCGGGGGAGGAAACGCACAAAAAAAACTCGTTTACGATGATAATAAAATACGATCCTTTCGAATGAGTACAATGACCATTTAAATCTCGCGCAAGTATGTGGCACATTTTTGCTTCATGCTGATATTCGTATTTATCACGAGGTTATAAACGAGTCAATCGATAAGAGAGAAAATATAAACAATAAACACGAACCATCGATCGTATTGGACACGATGCTCCGCTGCTGCTGCTGCGTGCATTGCCGTTGAGCTTCTCGCGAGTCGTCGTCGACACCCATAATCGCTGCCTCGAGGTGCATTATCGCAATCACGTCGACGTTTAAAAAATAAAAGGCCGCAGGACGGATGTTTATTTACGTTAATATTATAAATTTCGATGAAAGATGCGATCGATGCGCGGACTGTATATTATGTAGCGCGATTGTGATTGAAGATCCGCGTGGTCATATACACGTTCACCACCGTCGACGCACACTTTACATGTACATACACAACGCAGTATCATAATAACGAGTTGTGTGCCTCGGCCAGATAGCTGTATATAATGTGGATTTAAACTGCGTATGTGTGTATAGAAGACGCGCATCGGGCCGATAATGATTTAATCGAGAGAAAGAGAGAGAGAGAAAGAGATGACGAGACGCGAATTCGATCGATTGACTCGAAAAAATCGATCAACGTATAAGTTTTGCACTCGGAAGCTCGAGCGGGCCGAGCGTTGCCGACGGCGTTTTGGGGAGCAACGATCGAAAATATAAAATTGACTTTAAAAAACATCGATAAAGATTTTTTAATACTTAATCGCACTCAAAAATTAAAAATTGTTCGGTCGATTTTCTAACGTGACATGCTGGTATCTCATTAGCGCATTATCTTTACATTCCGATCTTCATTATAAATGTCTTGAAAAATCCAGAATGTAAACCCATTTTCATGCGGATTAAAATTAGAGAAATCAAATTATATGTGTGTAAATGAACTCAAGAATTTTCCATTTCGGAGGTACGAACTGAATTTCCAAGATATGAACTATAGTTATCTTTCAAGTTTTTTTCAGGTCAGCTTAATGTTCCAACTGTAAGAACTGCAGGTATTTGAAAAATTTCGAGATATACTTTTTCTACAGAAAATTCATCCGCGATGTTTAATATTTGACCGAACTAATTTATCGAATACTTGAAGGTCATTGACCTAGCGCCAAATGGTGTATCCCGGAGGGTGTAAACAAGGTGTGTCTCTTGTAAGCTCAGAAACTGCAAATCGCGTTTTTGAAATCCAAAAGCCATCGAAAAAGATAATTTAATTTTTTGAAACAACTATTTATCAAATCCCTTTTTTCGTTTTAATTAAAGAAGAAAAAATAATAATAAATTCACTTCAAAATTTGAGAAAGATAAATGGAAGAGGCGCGTATTTGATAGTGCATCTACAATTTGTCGTTCACAATTCTATGATTTCCCATTTTTTCTTATTTTTTACCATTTAAGCCTTTCTACTTTATACTCCTGATACCGAAGTTATCTCCGTGGCGGCAATAAAAATAAAGGAACAAAGAAAAACGAGTCATGCAGTCAAAAAGTGTCGCGAAAAAGTAAACAGCCTCCTTCCCCTTCCTGCCCGCAGCATCATATGTTGTTTTGCAGAACTTGCTTGCGGCTCTCACGCACTTTTTATATACGAGTCTTTTACGCTAGTGGCCTATATACGTTTTACTCGTGTGTGCAGAACTCACGAGAGCATGTGCGAATTTGTGGATGAAAATCAATAGTCCGAGTTGCGTGTCGCTGTCGATGATGTTTTGGCTTGAAGAGGCATGTTTTGTTATTGTATTCGAGATATGTCGTTAACGGTGCCGCAGGCTCTGCTGCAGTAACGATCAGCAGCTATCCTTGTTTTGGTAAGTATACTTCGCTTTCCAACAAAAAAAAAGACCTCAAGAATCATGCCAGTGCAGAAACTCCCATTGTTGAGGACTAGTTTTTCAGGCGTGCGTCTACGTCAGTTGCCACGACAATTACGTAGCCCGCAACTCCCTGAAAATACAATGGAGGAGTATACGAAGGCGACGATTCAAAAGAAGGAGACCAACTGCATCATCTTCAATATCGAGTACTCGACGATCAAGGAGAGTACGTGCATGGAGTATCGCTCACCCTCCTTCGAGTTCAAAGAGCATCCCAAAGAAGAATGTTATATAAGTTTTGTGTCTGTGTTCTCAAAGGACAAAGGTCCTTCCTCGCAAAAAGTGGCTGGCATGACATTACATTTCTCAGACAAAAGATTGAACGAAGAAGTTTGCACTTACCAAGTGGTTGCCAGTGTACTAAATAGGCCAGAGTTTGGCATACATGCATTTCAAAGTCATAAATATGGCATCAACGAGTTGAGGCATTGGAAATTTTTCAGTACCAACGAACTGTTGAAAGTGGTCAACAAGAGTGGAATTGTGCAAATTTGTTTTGACGTAACACGCTTTTGTAGTGGAGAATTGGTGACTATTGAGTCAACGTTTGTTCCTCAAAATGATGAAAATATGATGAAGTTGTACTCTTTTGCAAAGAATGGGGAGTACACTGATATTGTGCTAAAAGTAGGTGATCAAGAAATCAAAGCTCATAAAAATATATTGGCTGCTCGTAGTAAGGTATTTGATGCTATGTTTAAAAGTAATATGCAAGAGGAACAGACTGGTGTGATAAATGTTGTAGAGTTTGAAGCTCCTGTGATTAAAGAAATGTTGTACTTTATGTATACAAACCATGTTGAAGATTTATCACAAATGGTGCTAAAACTGTATGAAGCTGCTAATTTTTATAATTTAATAGATTTAGAAACATTGTGCAAGCATTATATGATATCCAATATTACTGTTGAAAATGTTACTGCAATATCGGAATTGGCGGATAAATATAATTTAAAAAATGTACAAGGAACTGTTAATAGATTTATCAAGAGTAACGAAGCTCAAGTTCTCAAAAATCAAGAGTATCTTACTTATTTGGTCAGTAATATAAGTATCAAAAACATTGCAAAATATTTAACTTTAGCAGAAAAATACAAATTAAAAGAGTTTAAAAAAACTCTTAAAGAATTTGTGAGAGATAATATTAAAGATGTGATCAAAGATTCTAAATACAGATATCTGTATACTACAAATATGAATTTAATTCTAGAAATTGACGAATACATTGCAGACCACTATGAAAATAACAAATAAACTAATCCATAATTTACATCATAAAATATTCCTTTTGAAATGATGGATCTGTGTTTGAATTTACTTTCAAAAGATATAATATATATTATAATCTATTATGTAAAACATATAAATATGATATATACATTTTAAATAAATTTTGTTTGGTGTTTCTTTTTTTTTGTATTTGTAATAAAAAATGTATATATTTTTTAGCTTAGTTACAAACATTCTAAAAACATTTAATTTTTTTAAAACTGAAATACAAGTATAGAAAACAATTACAAGTTTTGTGTCATTATTTCAAAACAATTAAAAATTGACATTTCTCTACTTAAAAAATACACTTATATCCCATGTCCCCTGTTACAAATTGCCTCACAACATTTTGTATAGCATCTAAAAGAGCTCTGTTACTTTGAATTGTAGCAGCTAATTGGACTAAAGTAAATATATTTTCTTTTGTCAACAATTGCTTAAGAGCTTCAGCTAATTTTTCTTTTTGAGCAGGAGTGGCTTCTGTAGCTAAAATTTCTGGCACTGACTTGAATTTTCCATTAGCATGGTAACTTGACATAAAAGTTCCTAGTAATCCACCTAAAATTTTTCAAATTTATGCACATCTATGTATCATTCTCATTTATTCAACTAATATTATTAACGCCATCAATTGTTATTACCTGCAGCAATACCTGTTGGTCCACCTAATAAACCACCCAAAAATGTTGTAGCTCCAACTATAAAACCACATTGAGTTGAAACATTCAAAGCAACTTTCATTTCTCTGATAGTTGTTAAATCTGATATTGCTTCTAGCAAATCTTGTGTTGCCATCGCCATTGTTGTTGTTTTTCAACACTTGTTGACTGTCAACTGAAAATACGTAAAAATCGATGAATGGTTGTCAGTGCTTGGAAGATACTGAAGAGTAAAGGGTTTTTCGCCAATAAAATTTGCGCGTTACCTCTTAATCATGAAGTTTTGTTGATGAAGACGATAATTATGACTTATAGTATCAAAGTAGACAGTTTCTTAACCTATTATTTATTGTTTCATCCTCATTCTCATATTCGTGCAAGAAGACAACTGGGGATGTTTATCACAATTCTCAGTATACAAGTGTTCAACTGCCGAACGTAGATTTTGGGAATCCTACGCGCGCGTCAATACATCAGGTCGCTTTCATTGCAAACTTTTACGGAAACTTACTTGTATTGTATTGTGTAAATGTGACGTATCACGTATGTACGTGACGCGCACAGCATACATACACTGAGTCACGCCAATGCTTAGATATAGATATACCCATATTGTGCGCCGACAGCGTAATGTTAGAGAATCTGCATTCAACCTACAATGATAATGAAAGTAAAAATGCACATCGATAATGTCTTTTCAAGATGAATTCTCCATTAATTAACTAATGTAATTGTTAATATCTCATTCTCCTCATTTTTAAGGCTTGTAATCGGGTAACTGATGAAATAGAAAAGCAAATTGAATAATTACCATGAAGAAAAGAGTTCCTTACAATACATAATTAGTTTTTATGAATATTTTGGGTAATTGGATGTATAAAAATAATACAGAAAGTTACGAATAAAAAGATTTATTTTATTTTAAGTCTATTCGGTTTTTTTTGCAGCCTTCATTTTCTTGGCTGGCAAAGGCTTCTGGGAGCGCAATACAGCGCTGGCTCTGCGAAGGGCAACCTGCAAATAAATTCATCAAGTTTAGTTTGTTTTCAATAGTGATTAACTTAAAATGTTCATTTTAAACTGAGCAAGTAGAGTTTATGAATGTAGTTATAAAAAAGTGACAAAAGGATGTCAAAAACATTATAAAAATAACGTTTTCCTGTGGAATATTATTCCACAGAAACAAAAAGATATTTAGTTCATTTTCAGATATTCACGAGAAACTTTTGGAATATTTTCAGAAATTTAAACATAATTAAAAATGAGCAATCCTGCTATAATTGTAACATTCTTATGAACGAAATTTACCTTGGTCAAATCACGACGGTACTTGTTCTTCTGGAGCAGATTCTTTAATTTGTAAAGGGATCTGCGGGGACCGGCCTTCATGGTCCTCTTGACTGTGGACTTGGCTGGCTTGTTGACATTCTTTGCCTTTTTGTAGACAACGGTGAATCCCTTTTTGTCTGGGGTATCAACAATACCAACGCTCTTCTTGTGGATCAAACCAGAGTAACGGTAGCTGCTCAAGTTGGTCAGGTTATTGGCTTCCTGCAATATACAAATACATTAGAAAATTCGTTATCACATCAAGTTTTTAGTTGAATGAAAATAGTTAATTTACCGTTGAGAAAGGCTTGTTGATGTTGCGCTTCTTCAAAAGGAAGGCATTGTTGTTGCGGATGATCATCCAGTTCAAGTGAGCCGACATGGTGACGTCTGTAATAATGTTGAAAATGAAACATTAATATTTTATGCTGTAGGAGTTAACTTATGAGCAACCCATAGAAATAATAACTGCATTTCAACAATATCCGAAATAATATACGTTCTCATTAGCACAAAAGCTGTTTTAATAAAAGTTTTCAATGTCCCGTAACCTAAACATCGGCAAAGCACGTGTCAGGGTTTTTACAACAACAATACTGTTAACTTCATACATTTTCAAGTTAAAACTGCACTCGAATGTTGTTTGTACTTATGATTAAGTGAAATGGACTTTTGATTATTTATAAACTACGTTTTAAACATTAATTTCATCGATATAATACCTGTTTTGCTGGTAACACGCAAAGGTTGCAGCGGAAAAGAAGAGACTTTGGGAAAAAAGTCCACTGTGTGCGCGCGCCCCTCTCGGTTCAAATCTTCATTCACTACGATGCGTCCAAATGGCGAGTGGCGACTCCAGCGCTTGTGCGCAAAATTTCAAATTCACCTCAAATCTACATGAGGAAAATTATAAATCAATTAATAATTGTAATTGAAAATGAATTTTCAGAAAGTTGTATAAGCTCATTTTTACTCGATGGCATGAATGATTATTTTATACTTTGCAATACAATGTTGGAAAATGAAAGAAAATAAAAAACTTGTACGAAAATGAATGGCGATGTAATCTTGGGAAGAAAGAAAAATACTTCATCTTTTTGAAAACAAATCACAATGCCGAAATGAAATAAGATGTCATTATATCTTATCAAGATCATTACGTTCCTGAAAATTTCATCTCCGTCCAACTTAGATTCTAACCGAAAAAAACATTGACACGTAAATTTAAAATAAGATGTAAGTTTTAAATAATAATCAATAAGTTAAATAATATCAATAAGTTATTTTAAATAATAATCAATAAGTTAAATCTTTTTGAACTTCAAGTTGTAAACATTAAACTATAGTTAATTGTGTCAGAAGAAGGACATGCATTTTTCTTCCAATTCTGTTTTAATTACAACCAGCTGCAATCTTTGAATAAAATATGGATTTGCTAAAATTGTTCAATTTTATAATAAAGTTTACTACGATACCGTAAAGTTTATTACATTATTTTACTTAAAAAAAATAGAGACGAATGACATTTTTGTGTGTAAACTTGTATATAAATAAAATAAGTTATTAAGTTACTAATCTTTTTATTTCTCTTAAGTAAAATACTTAAATTTAAATTTATATAAACTTTATAATTACAAAATTACAAAATTACTGCATACATTGAAAGTTATTGTTTGAACTAGCTTTATTTCGTACAATATATCCATAAATACTGCAATACTTTTTAACAAGATAGCATAACACGATACAACAAATTTATAGAGATCATGGGTTCACATTTGTTTAAAAACTAAGTTTTGTCCTTAAAATAAAAAATAAAGAGAACTTTTTTAATTTTTATAGCTAATGACTACCATTAACGTTGAATTTACAACGTTTTGAACCATATATTTATACATTTGTTTTCTTGAGCGTCAAGAGGCAACTGTTCACGAAAACTCCAAGTCTGTATCGGGCAGATTTATTTCTAATGGATCGAATTTCGATTCTGGCATTACAATTTCATGTTGACCTTCCATATTATTAGGTAGCAGTGCATCCACACAGTTTTGAAGATGATCGATTCGTGCATTAAATTCTCGCCTCGTTTCCGCGATGAGCCCTTTCATTTCGTCCATTGCTTTGGTGAACCAAGACGGTGGATCACTGCCATAAGACTTTTTTGAAGTCTCCTGAACTTTATTGGAAGCGCCGTGTGTATTTGTAGTAGAAGACTTTTGAAGTCGTGGAATTTTATTGGCCAATAGCGTCGCCGGCGACGGAAAGGTTCTCATTCGCTTCAAATTCTGCTGGTCCAGGCGCGAAATCGTCTCCTGGTTCAGATGTTTCGAATTCTTGCCGGAGGCGGATCCCTGCTTATCGGGCTCCGCTCTTTGCAGCAGGTACTCCAAACGAGGACTGAAACAACCGAACCTGCTGAGCTCGCGCGTCGTGATGCCGGTTCCGGCATCGTTAAGCAGTACGGCCGAAGTGCGTCGGAAAGCGTGGCCCGTGTAGAGCTCGGGGTTCGGCAGGCACAGAAATTTGGCGATCTCCTTTGGCATCGAGCCGAATTTGTTGATGCCGATCGGCTGCCTCGTGCAGGCGCCGTTGTGATAGTTCAGGAAAAATCTGGTGGTGCAGGGATTTTCCGGCCTCAGTTTCATGTACTTCTTGCACATGAGGTAGAACTCGGAAGTTATCGTGAAGGTACGCTGTATCTGTGAGTTCGTTTTTTCGATCTTGATGAACAGCATCGTGTCGTGGTCTTCGACGTCGTTGATAGTGAGATTCGTCAGCTCCTCGCGTCGGCAGGCACCGATTATTCCGATCACGAGTGCTACCTGTGAACAAGTAAAAATTCAAATGGGTGACGTTAATTTTAACATTAAAATAATATTTTCTTGCTGAAAATTATTTCGTTTAATTTAAAAATTATTAATTTTTTCGAATAAAAAAAATTTAACATAAATTACATTTCTTATTTTAAATATTAATTTTCTTCTACAATTCATTTATTCTTCAGTTTTTTCAATAAACAGCTGCGCACTGCGCAGATCTGTTTCCTTGCATTAGGATATAGACCGCGTTTATAGACGTAATACGACGACTTCGTGCTCAAGTACGGACCAAAACCAACATTTTTTCATATAAAATGTACCGAATTTTTAAAAATTTTCCTCGTTTACATCGATTTTGATTGTATGTATATTGTGTAGTTTGTATTGTGTAGATTGTATGTACGTATATGATTGTTTGAACTATATATAAACATAGGCCTAACGATTGGCAATGCTCTGCACAACAGTCTGCTTTCGGCCGCCGTTATTCGAGGGTTATACCAGCTTGCTTAAAAATGAGTGATAGCGATTGTGAGATAATTGATGAAACAGAAGATATAATTGAAATTTCACAGTTGACTAAAGATGACACCACACAAGAATTAAACTCAAGTAATTCGTCGCTCGATCGATATCGCCAGGAATTTGGCATTTTTCAGATATGGTTGAAAAGTCAAGAAGCCAACACGGTGGACGAGGAGCTACTGTTGGCGTATTTTAAGGAAATTTCATCGGAGTACAATCCTTTAACGTTAAAGTCGAAGTACTCAATGTTGAAAAATATGATTAAATCGAGTTACGATATTGACATCGGTGAATACGAACAATTAAAGACTTACTTAAACGACATTGCTGCTGGCTGTAAAGTGGTGAAAACAAAAGTTTTCACAAGTGAACAGATACAACGATTTTTGGATGAAGCGCCAAATGAACAATTTTTACTTGCAAAAGTGAGTACGACTTCAGAATATTATTATAAATAATGAGAAATTGTATGACAGTCAATAAATGTAAGTATAATTTGTAGATTGCATTGATTCTTGGATCACAGGGTGCATGTGACAGTCGAGAGCTTCGCGAATTAACAATGAACGATGTCGAACTCAACAAAACATTTGTCGTCATTAAAATCCAGGATTCAACAAGTGATTTTCCAAAGGTCGTCACACTCGTTGGCAAAAATTTCGAACTTGTCAAATCTTATTTGCAGTTAAGGCCTGAAGGTATTCTTCCATTTTTTGTGGACTATCGCAATGGAAATTGTTACAACCAAGTGTATGGTAGAAAGATCAGTACTGTGCCAAAAGTTATTGCAAATTGGTTGAAATTAGAAGAGCCTGAGCTATACAACTCCAGGAGTTATAGTTCATTTTATATAAAAAAAAAGAAAAAATCAGATAGAAATCTCAGTAGACCAGAAAAAAAGTTAAAAACTACACATGCACAATAAAAACACTGAGTGTCTTTTAAAATAAACCTGTACATAAGTAATTTATGATTTTGTATTAAAAAAATTAATGACTGACTTTACTTTGAAGTACTTAAACAATAAGTCATAAAATTGGACTTTGATAATTTTGTAAAAATAAAATGTAAGTTTATCAAAGTTTTCTTGAGGAATTTCTTATAATTATATTCAACTGATAAAAAGTAATACTGTTACTAATTTAGTAAAAAAAATCTGATTTTACTAGAAAAATTGAAAATATAGAGCAATAATGAAATTATGAATAAGTTACCTTAACAACCAAATATTTATCATCTGGAGCATCAGTTAAAAATCTTCTAATGTGTTCTGGTTCAAGAATCTCTGCTTTCTTAGGAACGTAGCCCTTAGAGTTAGTCTTTAAAAATTCTAACAATGGTGAAAAGTCATGTATATTCACATTGTGTTTGGTCAGTATCACACTTCTTAGCATTGAATAAGTTGCCCATAAACTAGTCGCTTTAAATTTTTCTGACATTTCTTTAAAGTATGTGAGAAGCACATGCGATGTAAAGTCGGTGTAACCCTTTTGTACTTTCCACTCCATGAATTTCTTGTATGTTGCCTCATACTTTTGCTTTGATTTAGCAGGTAAGTCATGAAATCCTTTTTCATTTGTATCTTTAGGATCATCATCTTGTGCAACTACCTCATCATCGTCTTCACTTGAAGAAGTAGTACTTTCCAACTTGATGGTTGATTCTTCAAAGTATATTTCAGCCACTGGAATAACAACACAACATACATTTTTTAGGTTAACTGTATACAAATTATAGCTGTCAGATGAAAGTTGAAATTAATGTAAGAGATATACTAACTGATTATCAGCTGATAAAAACTTGGTTTAACACTAATCTTTACTTTTTCTGAATTCTTCTTTGTTTTCACACTACATACTTGGTTATCAAACTTTTAATACGATTAAAACAAAATCGTTACGAAGCGTGCGTTATGTACCCATAACGCACGAGAGTCGTCTCACAAAACTCGACCGAAAAAAGACGATGCGGTTCAATAAAATGAATGAAAAAAACTGCAGATAAAGTTTAGTAACTTGATGCTTTTCGATGGTACATTGAACATCCACGATGGTTAACTCAACAACAAGGGTCAACGGCCACAGACAGACGCCGTGTTCTATGCGGGCATGCGTTATTAAAAATAACACACTTGGCCTACAATTGGCTATTTTGCGTATCGTAAAATCCCCTCCACTGCGCAATATCATCAAAGCGCACTACAAGACGTAATGTCGGATATGTATACTGATTTAATTCAATGGTAATTGATTAATTATTACGTAAATATAATTATTAATTAAATAATAGTTAATTTTTTTCATAAGAAATTACAATAAATAAATTTTACATTAAAAACTCAAAATTTATTTTTCATTTAAAAAAGTTACATTAGTTATTTTTGAAAATAACTTTTTTGATAAAAAATAAAAAAATTGAATTATTTAATTTTTACTTGAATTAAGTAAATTTTTAATTTACAAATAAGGCCTTCAGATTTTTAATTTCTACATAATAAATGAAGAGTAAAATATATAATTTAATATTATGCTTTTTAATTATAATAATGATTTTATTGTAAATACAGTAAACTTTTCATTGTATAAATTGTAGGATAAATTTAAACATCTAAAGCATAAATTTGATTCAAAACACTGAATTCAAAAAATGCATTTTATTAACGAGGCTTCAGTGCATGATTTATTATATCAGTTAAACATTAAGAACTTTTAAAGTGATATCTCAATGTAAATATTTTCTCACTTCCTCTTACAAAATTCATTGAACAACATTTAGTAAATAAATGCGCACACTTTAGTTGCCACAAAAAAAAAAGTAATTATTGTGAATAACAGTTCATGATCTTTATGTGGTATAATACAAAATTTCGATTCCTTCTTATCATTGAAAAATTCATTTTAAAAAAATATATTTTTAAAAAATAGCACCCAGTTTACCAATTTTATATAATTTTCTGGTCAAGTATCAATAAATACAGATGAATTTCCAAAGTTATAAGCTAAATTAATGCATAATCAAAATATGCATATCATAAACTATGCTTACATTATAACATCTAATAAATAAATCATTCATGTATAATTTTGTAAATTTTTGTATAACATTTTTTTTAGAGTAAAATCACCCTAATAGTTAATATAATACTCTATATAGTTCATTTGTTTTAGAAAAAATACTTTTAGAAGTGTACTTTTTCTAAATTCTCTTTAGATTTTTTTCCTTGTATAATAAATAGTTTTAATATACTTTCAAATAGTATGCAATCACTGGAAAAAGTATTATACAATACATAGTTACAAATATCCTTTCTTGACTGTGAAAACACGAAGTTTTGAAAGATCTGTTAGTATTTTATTTTTAAGTAAATATACTGTGCAAAAGACTTGAAGCAATATATCTTATATCTTACATGTATAAATATATCATTATTCATAATATGAGTATCGAAAAATATTGAATACAAAATTACTTGTACTTTTACTGAAGCAAAGTAACTGTCAAAAAGTGTGAGAATCAAAAATATCATTTCAAGTACATTTCGTAATCATTACGAAAAGTCGATGCACTTTCTGCACTTTTCTAAACTACAAAAGTTTTCTTAAACAAATTATAATAATAGTTGTGCATGTTCGTCGCGGAATCTAACTCGATTCAATTTTTTTTCAATCCTAATTCATATATTTAACGCTCTAACTTATAATCATGGAAGTGACACATTTTTTTATGAATGATGGTGTAATATTTTTCTAAATGAAAATTGTTCAAACTACATATGGCTGTTAGTTGATTGTTATCTGAGTATAGAAAATATTTTTTCATCACTCATAATTTTCAAAGTGAATATTTAATTTAAAAAAATTCCTTACGAGAGCTTTGAAAATGACTTTTTAAGCGCGATTCATTGGTGCGAGTTCGTGAGATTGTTGACCGTTGGTTGGGTGATCAGAAGCGAGCTGGGCCAACCCGGAACTTCGCCACTTTCCGTTGTCGCCATTCAAGTTCTTGTCCTCGCAAACGCATAAAAAAAGCGTGTCGATAATCGTCTGAAATTTGATAAATAATTCATTTTTAAGATTGCAACAATTAATTTATCAACTTTTAAATTACACAACACCAGTAAATTATATCTTACCTCATACAGTGATATGATACAATGAGCGATGAAGAAAGAAAATGCGCAAGTTACAAATATTGGAACAGCATAGAAATGTAATTGAGCATCATGTTTCATATACAGAAGTGCAATGGAGCCAGTCGCAGCTGTTACAAAGCATTTTCCCATGAATAGAACGAAATCACCAATACCGTTTATAACTGCTACTTGAACCGCATTACTTAAGATTGTATTAAATGCCTGTTAAATAGATAATGAAATAAAATAAATAAAATTTCCTTGTACATCAAAATGCAGAGTATAATAATTAAAGATAATAAACCTACAATTCTGGCTGCATTGCAAAAGTGTGTTCCTTCAATTGCTACCACTGTGTAAGCATTTTGATTCATAAAGCGAATAAACCTTTCTAAGCAGTAGAAACAACAAATGCAACATTTAAGACCACACTGTGAACAAGGAGAAGTTTCTCTAGTCTTATCAAACCTAAAAAAATAATTTATATTGAGTCAAATTCTTATTTTCTACAACTTTAAATCAGCTAACATTAAAATCAATTTACTTTGCATGTAACCAAGTTAATATTAAACGAGGAATTTTAAATATAGTAATTAAAAATGATCCACAAGCTACTGATCCAAGATGGTATGTGATGAGTGTACCCATGGAAGAACATACTGGTGATATACTGGCATTTTTACCCCTAAGATTTAGATAAGAAAAGATTAAAAAATTAAAAGCAAAATAAATAAAACAAAATTATTTAAAATTTGTTTAATTTTACCTGAAATACCAATGAGCTACAGCCCCTGATATGACCATTGTTTGACAAGCAATAATAAATTCACTTATCCACACGAAGCCAATGACATAAACCCACCACATGTATTTTACCCAAGTAGCATCAGTGAATTCCAAAAGAGTGAATCCTGAAGAGAAAATATATGTAAGGAAGTCTTATTAAATAGTGCATTACCTGTTTTATTAGTGATATTAAAATTATCAATTAAAATTTAAAATAAGCTATGCTTACTTTTAAAATTTGTCAGTGATATATTGTCCAAAGGTTCTGTGTTCACAGTTGTCGGTTTACTAGTCACAGTTGAAGTGAAATTTAAGGTATCATCAAGATTCAATGACTTTGTACCAGGATAATCTAAAAATAAATGATTAATAATTTATTAAAAAATAAATTAATAATGAAGGTTCCAGTATGTAATTATTGAATTTTGTATATCATACTCACTTGCAGTAGCAAGGCATAACATGACCATCAACCAAAAAGCAAAAAATACTGATAAAGCTAAAAATGTGAGAAGGGGTTGGAAAAATAAGCCTGGAAGCTCAGCTAAGCACTTTGCACTTTCTTTAAATAAAACTGCCATAAAGCTAATTCGTTTTCTTATAAAACAAATGAGGAAGATCAAAATCACCTGTAATATATAGATTATTAAATTATTTTTGTATTCATAACAAATTAATATTTATATTAATATTCACATAAAACTTTTTGATAAAAATTAACTTACAGTAATTGTAGTTGCAACAATTGCTAGAGCTAAGAAAGTTTTTTCATTTTGTATAGATTCAGTTAACAATTCATTTTCATCGGTTCTGTCTAATTTACGTTTAATGTCTATGTAAGTCCACCATAATAAACCGCATCCACCTAAAAAAAAGTTATTCAGATTGTGTGAATGTCACAATTGAGTAAAGAATTCTCTTAAAGTTAACTAATTAAACTTACCAATACTTGCAATTGTTACTCCTGTCATGACAATCCAAGTCACAAAACTTGCAAGCCAATGGAAAATAGCAATCATTAATAAGGATAAAACTGAAACGTAGAAATTTAGATTCAAGTATGTTTTTTTTTAACAAAAAAAAAGGAAACAATATAGTATAAACTTTTAAGTACCAAAAGATAAACTGGATAAAGATAGGATTTGACGCCATGTCTTATACAGATCTGCCAAAACTTTTTCCACAAAATCCCAAGAATTCAGAATTGCAAAAAGATTGGAAGCAATGGACTTGGTAATTTCACTGACTGCTTTTGGTATGCATCTGTTAAGAATTGGTTTGCTTTCATATACAGGATAGGCAGGACAAGAGCCTAATTGGTTTCTTTCATCGTATGGGTTTTTGCAGGCACTAAAACCACTTCCTGGTTTATCCTGGCACAACTGAGAATCAGTCCTTCGATAAAAGTCACACACATCAGCTAAATTATTCATTTGTTTGTCTGGGCATTGCTTGACGCATATCTTCAAGGACTTCCGAACGTTTTTTACATCCAAGAAAAATAAATACCTGAAACGATACAGTATTACATTTTATCAGAATTGTAAATGACATGTGAAAATTCTCTCTAAGTTCTCGAAAATTTGACACACCTTTATCTAATTTAAATATTCAAAATATGAGAAAAATTATTTTTAAAAAATTACGAACGAATTTTCGGTCTAATAAAATCGTAATATACTTACGGTTTATCAAGAGTATTCTGTCCAGATAGCTCCATGTCACCAAATTTAGGATTATCTTTAACTCCACAGGTGTTTCCAAAACTGTCATACCCATTTATAAGCCTAATTGGACTTCCATAAACAAATGCAAAAGCAGCAATCAATATCTGAAAAAAAAACATTAATTTTTGTTTAATTATTCTCAAAAAATAATTCATGATGCATAACAAGGTATTTAAATTATTCAAAGCAAGTATGATGAAAAATTTAAGATCACAACTAATAAATGAATATGAAGCAAAAGAGAATGTAAATAAAATATATCCTTGTCCACAGAGGTGTTAATAATTCATCAAGCATACTTAGATACTTTATATGCTGCCATATACTGACATGTATGCATGACAAAGAAATTATTACTGTAGAGCATGAGCAAATACCATTATTAAGTAAACATAGTGTGAAATGTATGTAGAGTAAAAAGTTCAATATTATTGATGTTTATCTTTCAGACTTTCTATTGATTTTTAAAGAAGTTTTAAAATCCAATGTCATATAATTTGTGCATTTTCCATTTACATTGTAGTAGGCAGTAATAGTCGCGTAAAGCGATACACGCAGGTATACGCTTATGTAACACGAAATAAAAAACAATAAAAACATGAATGAAAGTCGCTTCGTTGAAACGTGATCGAATGAATTTTGGGTAAAACAAATTTTTCGTCGTTCGCTCCGCAGACAAAGAACTGGAAAAAAAATGAATCATACGAGAGAAGATAAAATCGAACATCTTCGTAATTACATTGTACGATGTATGTAGTGCAACAAAAGGCGAAACTAAAAATATCGGCGGATGTGAATCAGAAAAAGGAACGCCGCGAAGTATATAGAGTCAAGAACACATAAGTGCATTTAAGTGACAGCTAACTCGCTCGTCTCGCTTCTCCGAGCTCATTATCGCGCGTATCGCATCAATAACAGTCGTTATATAGAGGCACCGCACTTGAACTTGGGCCAGTACGTATGCAACGCGACGAAATCTCATTAGGTTCGATCGGGCGTTTGTGCACGCGCGAGATAAGTCAAGGCTCCGCTCGAGGTTTTATTTTTTATTGTACTTCATTGAGAGAAAAACTCACCATTAGGAACCAGAAGACGATAAACAAAACCAGCCAAAATATATCGGTGCATCCTCGTACGCGAGGTGCATCCGATTGCGGCGGTGGCCTCTGCTCCTCCTCATCGTCGGAACCGCAGCAGCAGGACATGTTTCGGTCTTTGAGATTTCTTTCTTCTTATAATATATTTTCTCAAATGCGTCGCGAGAAAATCCTCACACTCTTCGACGAGCTCTCATGAAGCCGAGTCGCAAGTATAGTGGCTTAAATACGAAGGAGACGCACACAGTCGTAGGAGCAGACAAAAAAAGAAAAGAAAAACACGCCGTAGCGGCCGCGATGCGTTCGTGGACGGACGAGACAAACCACTGAGTAGACGGACGAAGTCGGGGACGGGGACGCCTCGGCGCGCTCTGACACCCAGCAATACGCACGCATACACTGTGTGCCACCAGCGCGTATGTATAATAATACAGTCAAGTTTGCAACGCGTAAAAGAGGCAGCCGCGCAAAGAGAGAACACGAGAGTAGTCAGTGGAGTCCGCGATCAAGCGAGGAAGGGATGCGATGCGATGCACAGCACACGCAACGTTGTGTGCATGCGGCAACTTCATATAAAATCGCTCGCGAAACCAAGGCGGGGCCCCCATGCACGTTACAATAAGTAGGTACTATTACGAACGCTAAATCGGAGCAACGAGCCAAGTCATCGGCCTGTGTGTACACCTATATAGAAATCCCGAACGAATCGATGGCTCTCTGTACGAAAATTATCAAGTCGTGATAAGATTTTTCTTGTCGGAGAGCGCCGAGATAGCTGCTATACGAGGCGCGGTAGTAGCTGGCATTCTTATCGAAATCATAATCGTCACCTCTCGCGACGATTTCTCAAGGTAGCGATCGAATTTCAAAAGTGAGGAAAAAAAACCGAGCGACGCAGAGCTCGGGCTACAGGTGTCGATTGTTGCATACCTGAATTATAAGTTATATATAAGCGAGTGTATATCTGTACGCATACGTATCAATGGCGTAAATATAGACGACGCCGCGCGCGCGACGCCGGTAACCATGACTACCACCCGGTATACCTATATATATAAAGCGGCGTTCACCTATACGGACTAGGTTTACCTTTTAATACAGAACACATACACACATCGTCAAGGCGTGTTGCTAGCCGCGTCGCGCACGCAAAATGACAATGACCCCGAGTATACTGTACGAGTAAGTAGTCGAGAGAAACGTGATCGCTTTTTTTTTCGCGCGCGCGTTTGGTCGCCGTCGCCGCGTTTGATCGTGGCCTAATATTATAATAATAAGACGAACGGCGTCCGGTTGCAGTCTATAAAAACAACATTATAAGTAATGCCGATTCGCAGCCAAAGGTAATATATTAAACGCACTGCACGTCGTGACCCAGATGCCGTAAGTGATAAATGCGAATTGTGCGGGTGCGTCCGCGTAAACGGCCGAGCTTGCAATAATAAAAGCGGTACTTAGTTCGGGCGAGCGAAAGAGAGAGAGAGAGAGTCGTAAAAATATGATCGCGTCTATCGACCTCGTCGAACTGTCATAAATAATGAGCAGTCACCGAGCGCTTCATCGATTTGAAATGAAATGAAAGAAAAAAAAAGAAGATATAGTATAAGTATAGCTCCGATATCGATTCAAATTATTGCGGCTGCGAAGGGCTTGGCATAAATCCAAAATCAGCGTGCGATAAGTTTCAAAAGCGCGACACGACGCGGCCGAACTTTTTCTCCGACCGCGGTTGATAATGCAGTGCGTGTCGCTGCTGGTAATTTTAATGCACTTTTTGCAGAAATATGCACAGGCCTGAAAATTCTGGCGTGTATCCCTCGCCTAATGCTTCATAGCGGGGTATGCACTGTACCGCTCCACACACACGCGCGCGCGGCCGTGTGTTCCGATGTGTACATATTATTATTAGAATATGTGTTGCCCGAAAAATGATGTAGATCGGAGTCGCGAGTCAATCTTTTGAGATTTTTCGAGTGCTATATCGTTCGCGCCGTGCGTGTCAGGCTGCGGTGCCGTGCGTATTGCACTTCTGATTTGTGTTTATAAGTTCGAGACAGGACCGAAAGCGGTACTGCTCTGCACTGTGTGTTGGCTGTGTGTGTGTGTTGTCGTCGTGTATGTCGCCGTGACATAACCTTTTGCGCGATTAACCAAAGACCGAGCGAATTCGATTGAATTTTTTGATAGACACGCACAAGTAACGCAAACTGTTAATCGGCGTAGTGCGTACACAAGTGAGCTCCCAATTTAAAGTATTTGGGAGTGTTTTTTTATATGACAAATCCATTTCTGATGGAAGTTCCTGTTAGTTCGTTTTGTTTTCTGTGAAAGATCGATTTTTCCTGTTAGGGAGAAAAATTGCTACCATTTTCTACTATTCTTTTTTTATTTGTACAGTATTTATTAGTTAAGTTTCAACTCATACTCAAAAATGGAAGTTGAAGAAAATGGGAAAAAAAGTAAAAGCAAATCGAGTAAATCTCGCAGTAAAACTACGAGAGGACGAGGACGCACCAAAGGTCGTACTAAGAAAGCTGTAAAAGTAAGGCCCAATCAATTGATAAAATTAAATCAACGTGCTCGGTTAAACAATGATTATTTATGACAGGTAATCGAGAGCGACGATGACGATGTTCCTCAAAACACAGATGAAAATGCCATGGACACCACCAATCCATCCCCAGAGTCACAAGAAACACCTGCCTCAAATCAAAATCAACAAAGCCAACAGTCGCATCCTCCTGCACAACAAACGGTGCAATCTGTTGTACCAAATCAATCACCGATCGAACAAACTCAGCAATTTGATTTGGAAGCAGATATATCCCAGTTAGAAGCACCTACATTTACTACTATAAATAGGGGACCACCAGAACCCATGTTAAGATTAAGATGGGATCATCGTGTTAATTTGATTGGTGAAAAAGTGTTGAATCCTATGATACATTGCTGTGATAAGTGTCTCAAGCCAATTCTTATTTATGGACGAATGGTTAGATATTTTTAATGAGCTTCATAAAGACCTCTATCAGTTTTTTCATTTAAAAAAAAAAACAATTTTGTTTGCTTTTAGATACCTTGTAAACATGTATTTTGTTTACTTTGTGCGAAAAAAGAAGAAAAAGCATGTCCAAGGTGTAATGAAAAAGTTGCTAGGGTTGAACAGACAGGTCTTGGTACTGTATTTATGTGCACCCATGGGGGATCAAGATATGGTAACAATGGTTGTCGTAGGACATACCTTAGTCAAAGGGATTTACAGGTATTTACAAAGAAATTAATCTCTTTTCTTAAAAATTTTTCCAAGCTAATAATTGAAAAGTGTTAATAATTTTTAAAACAAAGTAAAACTATTTTTATTTTAATGTAACCAATGAAAATGTTAATCAAATTAAAGGCTCACATCAATCATCGGCATGTATCAGCTCCACCACCTCAACAAGTTCAAGCGATGCCATTGGACAATTCAACATCTTATATTCAACACAAAGGGTCTGATCTTATGGATCCAATGATGAAAATGAATATGCAAAATAATCGTATGAAGACAATGAGTGGACCTCCTTCACATAATTTGATGGGTAATGATCCTCGAGTCAATGCTGGAGACCACAGACAAGGAAGACATTATTCTCAAACTACTTCTACAACTTCTAATGCCATGAGATCAAATTTAATAACAGTGCCAATTCAGGATACAAGTTCTATGGAAATGCAAAATCAAACACAACAGCAATCTCAGAGTCATCATTATTATCACTCCGACAATCACCCTAATGCAGGCATGACAGCAAGGTGGGTCCTTGCTTGTCGAGCTGAAACTGAAATGAGACATCGTAAATCTGGTGGAAAAGGAAAAATTTGATAGTAGTGATATTGGAAAATGAACAAGTACCATTTTCAATATTAAATCATGATAAAAATACTGTCAAATTTTGTTCTTTTTCATCTGAGGTGTTGAAAGTTTTTCATCTCAACAGATGAAACTTAGTTTTACATTATAACATATTAAGATATGTTTAGTTAGAATTTCCTGCTGAATTAGTCATTTCTATATTAGATTCTGTACATTATGCTTTCTTTTGTCAAAGCACTGGTTGAATTTTACACGTTATATTTTTAAAATTACTATAAAACTGTAGAAAAATAGAAAATAATTATTAAGAAGCCATTTTATCTGGACGATATTAACTGTGAATTATACTAATTCTTCAATAAACATTTATATTAGACTATTCTGACAGGTAAAAAAATTAATTTTATTTTTTTTATTCTTTAACTAGTTGTAACACCGCACAATACCCTGCTTGCTCAAAAATTTCACATATTTTTTTCTCAGCTACTGCATGAATTACAAGTAAAGTCTTATATAGAACAGTACTAGCTAGTATGCAATTTCAATCCCAGCTTCTGATTATTGATGCAAAAATTAAAATAACCAAAAATCTATATCATACAAAAAAAAGAACATTTTTTACTTGACAATTTGCAGGCATGTTGTTATGACTAATCAGGCACCAACACCACCTCAAGCTCCATATACTTATGTATCACAATCTACGGTAGTTGCGTCACAATCGCAGCAAACACTGCCACCACAACAATATTATGGGCAACCTCACCCTGCCCAACTGGCTTATGTTGCAGCAGGACAACAGGCTTATGCACAACAACAGCAACAACAACAGCAACAGCAGCAACAGCAACAACAACAGCAGCAACAACAACAGCAGCAAAGAACTGGATATGTTCAGGAGCAAGCCTATGGCGTACAACAGCAGCAATGGCCTCAACAGCAACAGCAACAATTTTATAGATAAGACGAGGAGAAAAGGACAGATCTTGTCCTTCTTAGATAAGAGATGTAAAGTGAAATTGTATTATATATAAATAATATGGAAAGGTATAATGAACTTGGAAAAAATTGTTTCCTAAACAGATAATAGAGGCCTATAAATAATATTTTAACAAGTACATTCTATATTAGAGGAATTATCAATACTTTCAATTCATTTACACATTCAAATTAGTCAAATATGAGTTTTTATCTGTAAAATGTAAAGTAGCATAAGTTTTCTTTAAAAATTGACCATAAATTCATTTGTAAATAAATAATTGTTTCAAAAAATGTAATAATGAAATTATAATTTCATTAAATTCAAATTAATTACTATATTTTTCCTCCATTACAAAAAAATGATCTGTGTATTTGTGTATACCAAGTTGGAAGAAATATGGAAACAATAAATTTTTATTCTTAACAAACATCGCTGATGTGATAATCTTAACAAAAGGTTGCTCGTAACATTGAAGAACAAATTTTTTCTAATTATATAATGGAAAGTTTTTACTGAACTTTTGTACTGTTACTGAATAACGGAACATTAAGTGTGCAAAAACAAAATCTCTAAGACTAAACAAGTAATATTGTAAAGTTTGTTTTATACTTTTTGTTCTAAACTTCAATTAAATCTTAACTAGATGATAAATTGTTTTTAATTTTAACTATGAACTAAATGACATGATATTTGAAAAATTTATTGAATACATTTTTTTATAATAATTTATATCCAAGTCGAATAAACTATTATATGTACAAAAAATAACATTTGTGTAATTCAATACAATTTTTTACGTTTTTTTTTCTAACAAATATATTACAGCATTAATTGGTTTTTAAACACTGCTTTCAACACTGCATGATTTGAAATAAAAATCTATTTGATGTATTGTCTTTTTGTTGATTGCTATTTACAAATTATTTCAAACTGAAATATTTAGGTTTCAACCTTATATATTATTTTCATACATTTATATACAATACACAAAAATAAAAACATATAAACTAGCGTGAATTTTGATCCCTCAAATGCCATTTCATTATAAAGTCTGCCCTTTGTAACATTTTTTTAATGAAATTCCAACTACAATTTTTCATGAACATCTAATCTATTGCAACATTTCTAAATAGTTTTCTTCAATAATTACATTCATAATAGCATTTTATACTTATATAATATAAGAATTATCACATTGACAAATGGGAAGACCAAATAAAAACAAATTTTTTGTATGTTAATGAGTAGATGTTGAAAAAAATAAAAAATGTGTCCATGACTAAAAATGTAAAAACAAAGTCTGCAACAAAGGTTTAAGTCAATTTCAAACATTTTGTTTTGCAATGTTTGCCACATTACAAGAATTATAACGTTAACACATTGTAAATTAATGTTCTTGTTGAAAGAAGTACCCACTTTTTTAACTAGCTTTGTTGATTCAATTTAAAGTTACTTGAAGGGTATAATATATTTTTGAGTATTAAAATTAAAAAAAACGTAAAAAGCTTATTAAAAGTAAGAATAAATTATCAATATAAAATATTATATTAGTCTTAATATAATGTTATTATTCAAATAATAAAAGGAAAAATCACTTAATCAGTTAATAGAAAAATCTTCAACAGTTTTATAACTCAACATTATATTATCCTTTCTTTCAGTTAACATTAATTATTATAAGTTTTTAGTATTTTATTTTTACAATTTTTTTATTCACCTACCTGAGACTACAGCACAGCCTCTTGGGATCAATGAAATATACATGTTTGTGTATTGCCATACATGAAAACACAGTACCCATATAATTATTAAAATAAGATGATTCATTTAAAAAAATTTAATTCTTGTGAATCATTTATCACTCACATTTATAACAATTGTAGTCATTTTAGCAGAAAATATTTTTTAATATTTTGCTTATGCCTTTAATAATCAACAATTTCTTCACTATTTCACGATTTTTTTTTAACTAGTTTTTTGTTTCCACTATTTTTTCAAGTTTTATTAAGAAAAATACAAAATTTTAGTTTCTCAGTTTCACCAAGTTTTACCATCCACTCTTTTTAGGAACATTCACAATTGATTTTCCTTTTTAAATTCATTAATCTTTGGGTGGACTCGAACAAGGTGAGTCCATAACACTAGATCACGTACTGCTGGATGATGGGTGGTTGTGAATATCTACACTAATTTGCTGAACATGAGGTGATGATAACGATTTTACAAGTTCAGTTTGTTCTGGTATAGACACTACTACAGACGGTGCTGGTGAATGTTTTTTCGTGCGTTCTTGCTGCCATGGTTTGGCATGATCTCTGCTTAATCTTTCACTCAATGCTTTTAGAGCTATTTGTCTGCAACATAACACAATGATTATCAATCTAGCTTGTTAAACAAATATTAATTTTAGAAAATGATATAAATCACACCTTCTTCGTTCGCTGTCATGAGGATCAATACCCGGTAAATTAATTACAAGTCCTGGTGGTGCATTAGACATATCAAATCTTCTAACTACTTTTTTACACAGACCAATTCTTACAAAGAATCGATGTAATGTATTACAAAATACCGCAATTGGTGGCTGCAGAACATTTGGAAAGAAACTAAAATTTTCAAACATATATTAATTACAGATACATTTCATGTAAAGAAAATTTTATACAATTTTTTTTATAAAAATCGTAAGATCCTACCTGGCAAATGTAAAATTATCAGCCATATCACCTTTAGAACCATTATTGTGTCTTTGGTAAAATCTAAGGTATACCCAAGAAATTAGAGTTCCACTAAGAAACATGGTTGGATGGGTACCTTCTAGCAATCCAATACCCCAGAAGATTAATGATAAAATCCATACCATAAGAGGAATATTTCTATTGGTAATCTTTCCAATGGGCGTTTTCATTAAAATATGATCTGGCATTATTTGTTTGACAGCAACAGTAACACCTGTCAAAATTCAAAACATTTAATTAGAGATATTAATAGCAGAGCTTTAGTCTATACATTGGTAATAGATGACTTTAAGTAGAAGGTAAAACTGATAGAATTACGCTACAAGTACGAACCAGCAATGTATCCAGCCAAGCCATGTATGTGTATGTCAAACAGCAAATCTGTATTGCCGGTGCAAAAGTAGAGCATGAGATAGAATAGGGAGGACAGGATGGCAACTCCAAAATTGACTATGGCGAAGAAGGTCATCATCTCCATGGCTCCCCATAGCGGCTCGATGAGCTTGCCGCAGAGGCCGACGGTGACGATGTCCACGACCACGTCCGTGAGGTGTATCTCGAGGAAGCAGAAGGTGAAGGCCGTCCATACCCAGAAGGACGGCGGCAGCAGGTAGCCCGGGGTGACGCTCAGCACGAGCACGGCGCTGTCGGAGAAGGACAGGCAGTACGAGAAGAGCACGACGAGGCAGATGAACTTGACGCTGGTCGAGGTGTTGCTGAGCAGGGCGACAAATTGCCTGCGAAAGAACGGCAGGTCATGGCCGAAGCTCTTGAACGTGGCCATGGCTGCTGCTGCGGTTGCTGCTGTGCGTGCGGTCGATGTTTGACGATGGAGATAGCGTGATTACCTGCGAGGCCGTCGTCGTCGTGCACTGCAACTCGCGGGCAGGTATCGAAATATCGTATATCACTCTGGAGCTCGCAGAAGCTGCGCAACACTTGGGTCACCACAACATCTTGCACTCGATACGGTATTATTGCTCAATGTGTACACGGTTGATTCAACTACGTACGAAACGTACTCAAAATCACGGTTAGTCGCGCACGCATATGCAAAAAAAAAAAAGAAAAAAAATAGTGCGCAAGATGTTCAACGACGAATCGACGAGCTTTTTCGAGGCATCGGGGAGCCCCACTCGCGCCGACGAGTTGTGTTTCGCGATTGACGACGATGATGATACCAAAAAGGAATCACCGAACCCAGTGCGCGCACAGTAGGTTGCCTGCTTCTCTTTTCGCACATACAACACGAGCTACTGCTGCTGCTGCTTGCATATAGAGAACAGGCCGTCTGTGTTGTGATGGCCCGTTCGCGTTGGCGAACCGAGGATACGCGATGATGTATTATATGTATAACACGAGAGAGAGATTCAGATAACACATATACGTGGTACATAACACGAGATATGTGTTACGAATATACATGTATGGCACAAAGTGATACTTGCTTCACGTATAGAGGTAGTGGGAGTTGTGCACGCACTCGTTGTGTCATTTGATATGCACGACACACATGCCGAAGGGATTACGCGCGAATTTTTGACTGAAGATAATGATGAGCGAGCCACGCCGCGTATTTGCGACGGTTAAGTCGAGAGCGATCGTTCGATTTTGAAAAATAAAAAACCAGTAGACTTTTTTCACGGTGAATCATTTTTGTTTGGAATGTGCCATTTGTAATGTTAATGATAAAGCGAATTACCTGCGGATCGAGGCTAATTGGTGATCGATATCAATTGCCTTACTTTCCTTCCACTCGTGACACGCGTTCGAAACAAATTGTATTACATGCGTCTATGATGTGCATTTGTCAATTCTCAATGTTTACAAACATTGAAAACATGTGTAAAATATTGTGCAAGACTCTCACTAAAGCTCGAGTTTGATGCTTTTTGTCGAATAAATTTTAATGATGTACACTCGTGATCTTCGAAAATAAAACAATAATTAGAATGATCGGTACACAAAAAGTCAATGATATACTTTCACGATATTCCCATTTATTATTTTCATTAAAATTTTCCAACTAAAAGTTGTATTATTCGATAAAATTATTTTGATATGATTGTATGGGAAACTATAAATACTTGAAAATAGACGGATCGGTGGGAAACTCGTCGGAAAACGATTACTGCCGATCAGAGCTTAATAGGAATTGTATGTTGATGAATACATAAGTACTGATTGTTTGAAGCATCTGAAAGCGCAAAAATATTTTGAACTCGTGATTTTACAAAACAATTTTCAAATGCTTACCGAGAGCATCAGATCTTGATTCAAGTGGAACATGTCGAATACCTTTATCTCCGCCTTTTTAATCAATATATGCACGGAAAAATTATTCAATTTTTTGTGTATCGTTGCATCGTAAAAGACGTCCAATAAATCGCTAACTATAACTCCGGTTTTGAGAATCTGTAATCATTGAGTAACATCGTCAAATTCGAAATCAGTCGAGTACGCATAGAAGTTGGAAAAACCTCTTGCTCGACAGCCGAGACGGATGAGGTGAGCGTCTGCAGAACCCAAGTGTGCCAGAAAAACACTATGAACTCGACGCCGTAATCGACGAGCGAGGCGATGTTCTCGAAAGTTATGATCAACGGCCGAACGCAGTAAAAAACGCTGCAGATGTAGCTGATGAGAAAGAAGCATATGATGGAGAGCATCGGGAAGGAGAAGAAGTCGGAGAAGTCGTCGACGAAATCGACGAAGCGCGAGTACAGCTCTCGGCAGCGCTCGATCTTGGCAAGGATCGCGACGAATTCGGAGTCGGAGCCACCTTGACGAAGCGTCAGATGTCTCGGCAGAGCGCTCAGATTGTCGTTCATGAGTCTCGCGGCGTGCAGAACCACGATGAGCAGCAGACTGTACTGGACGTAGATGAAGAGGATCATGAAGTCGTTGAAGGTGTAGCCGAGGACGATGAGAGGAGCGCAATTTTCGCCGATGTCTTCGTCGGTGCAGAAGGACTGAAGAACCAGGGATATGGTGAGGCAGAAAACGATGAAGCCAAAGACCATCGCGACGTCTTTGAAGAAGCTCCTCCATCTGCTCTTGTCGACGCGATCCAGCTCGAAGGTCAGATTTTTTATCTCGACGAGTCTGTTCAGTATGTCGATCAGTTGTCGCTGCTTCAGGCAAAAATTCGAAATTATAATGGTCGTGTTGAAGAAGATCAGCGTCTGATAGATGAGGCCTAAAATTTTCTCCTGATACACCTGTCGCTCCAGCATTCGTACGCACGTTATGACGTTCAACCACAGCAGCGCGAAGTACAAAGCGACGTTGTACAAAATTCCGGAAATCGAACGAGCGAAAGTCTCCGGCCCAAGCCGATTCAATCCTATGGGTGCGATGCCCATCATTTTGCACACGTAAAACAAGGCGGCCAGAGCAATGAGTATCGCGCGAGACATTTTGGCCCCGAACAGTCTAACTATATAAACTGTGTGGAGTGTTTTTTCATCGACACAGGATACCCGATAACGTTCGATATTGACAGTTTATTTTCCAACGGGTGACACGCGAGTGCACTCTGCGTAATGAAGATAAATCATTGAAAATTTATAAAAATTTTATTGAAAAACTATTTTTCAATTTCATTGAACTGCACGCTGTTTACTTAAATTTAATGAATCCTAAAAATTAATTAATTATCATTGAAATTCTCGGTAACAATAAATCGTGGCTACACAAATACAAACTTATTTTAACAATAAATAGAATGAAATACTTTAATACAAAAATTGTATTGTTACAATGGATAAATTTCAATTATACTTAATAGATATCGTGGACTTCATCCTCATCTTGTTCCGTACTCTCTACTTTTGAATATGTATCATTATAAAAACTTTCTTTCTCTGGTTCAGAAAGAATTTGTATTTTTCCATTTGCACTTTTTTGTTCTGCTTCAATTCTTGGCATTAATTTTGTTATAAATTTACCTTTTCTTGTGTATGTTCGAGTTAGTAACATATCAGAAAATTTGTATAATTTATTGTTATAAATTACTTTTTTGTCATATTGAATTTTCCTGTGAGGTACTCTTTCAAAAACCGCGATGAAATGTCCTTGACAACCATCATACACAGGATCAACTCGTAAACATTTATCGCTACATGAATAACCCTGAAAACAACTGGAATGCCACTGATCCCATAACATTTTTTTAGCATCTAATAACTCATAAGGCCCTTCAAATTCTTTCATGACCTCATCTACTACCATTTCACCTTCTTCAGGATATACAGAACGCACAGTATATACTACTCTGTGGACATTTTGACAAGTTGCAAGAACATATTCAAGAACTTTGACTAAGGACATAAAATGCCTTTGTCTGAATTTGCTAGGGAGCATTGTTCCAATATCGTAAGTTAATCCAGAGTATGTACATGATGGATCGATTAATATATAATCATAATTTTTGGTCATAATTTGACAAGTGTGTTCGTGTTTGCATGGTATGTCAACGAATGAAGGTTCTACACATTTTATGTTAGCTGATCCAATCATATCTAGTAATTGCTTAAAGCGATCTGGATGATTATCATTGGCCAATATTAATCTGTTATCAAAATCATTTTTTAGTAAATTAACTTGCAGTAAAATTAAACATTCAAATATAGAAATTTAGATAGATTCAATATGTTTTATACTAACCCTTGATTATTCATTATATTCGCAATATGATTAGTTTTCAACCCTGGAGCAGCAAACATATCTAAAACCAATGAATTTGGTTTTGGATTGAGTAAAAAACTTGACAAACAACTCCCCTGTAGTAAAATAATTCCTCTATTAGTAACAAGAAGAAATGCTTTAAAAATTTAAGCATTACCTTATCTTGAAGCATGAATTTTTTTCCAGTGTAACCTGGGTGATCATAAAAATCTGTTCCAGGAGGAAAAACAAATAGTTCAGACACATGATAATCTCTAATGAAATCCTTGTGATCCATACTTTTCAATTGTTCAAGATAGGCAGAATAACTTTTTACAGATGGTAATAAATTCCAACCTTCTTTCTGAAAAGCAGTGACGCTACTTTCTAATGAAATTGATAGCGTATTGATTCTAACATACACAGGTAATCTTGCTACAAAAAAAGGATTAAAAATATTAATTTTATTGTAAATTAAATTTTTTTTCAAAATCAATTGAAAAAAATACCTGCTGGTACTTCTAGTGGATTAAGAGAGCTCTTATATATTGCTTCTAAGAAAGTTTCTCGTAAACTTTCTTCATAAAATTTCATTTTTTCTGTAGAAAGTGATCTGGATAGGAAATGTTGACTGCCCCATAATAACTCTGCTATTAAGACTCTACCTTTTGCCTCTTTGAAATGAAAATCATTTTCTGGTATCTGTAATCTATCTATTAAGTAATTAATTTCCTGAGCATGTTTCAACGTTAACAATGCCAATTCATACGATTTCCTTTTTGCCTAAAAATATTACATGATTAGTGTGTTGTAATGTTATAGATATGATGTTCACATTCTAATAAAACACATACTATTTTTGTTGTATCAATGCTTTCCTCTAATGGTTTGTTTTTCACATAAAAGTCATGAATAGCTTGGGCTGCCATTTTATAAGTGTCGGGAAAAGGATTTTTGTACCGAGATATATTAAAGCGTTCTCGCATTGCAACTACAAATTTTAAAGTTATGCATAATTAATATACTGTTTTGACTAACCTTTAAAAAATCAAAAATAACTACCTGTTTGAGGAAGCAAATTATGATGAGAAGGCCGATGATGAGAGTCTGCCTTTACTTTTGGCATGATTAAATCTATAATATGATCGAACATTTTGATTCAAGATGAATTTATAAAATTATTTCCTGTACATTCAATAACAACACAAACAAAAACTTACGCGTTATAGAAATACTGAATTGGTTCGGGTCCTGAAAACCAGAAAAAAGCCTTCTGAACGATTACCCTATTGTAGAAGAAGCAAATATCATTAGACCTCAACTATGGTGGTACTCCGACACTTTGTTTTGTAGATGAAAATAAAATAATATTGACAAATAGAAATGGGGCACAGGTGAGCCAGCCATTAGCCGGTAAGGTGGTATTGGCAGACAATCACGCTCGTTGTTTGCAGGACCCGACGTGTGCTCACTGCTCGTTGGACGTTACAGGAATTGAGCTTCTCGATAGGTTGGCAATGAGGAGGGATTTCGTTTGAAATAGAATTACGCGGCAAGAATGAGGCGCGGAGACGTTTGCGTTGCTGCAGCGAATCTGCGATGCCAGGCCGGCCGTAAAGTCGCGCCGGTAGAGTCTTCGAGTTTCAAAACAAATGACGTCGGCCGTCAAGAATGTGCATGCAGTGTCAATTATTCTAAAAAATTATTTTTGTTTATTCTAATAGTTAAAATTTTTCGTACGATTTGAATGAAAAAAAATTTTTTTATTTACACATAAAAATGAAATTATACTTATTTATTCAAGTAGAAATAATTTACAGATTAATGAACAATTTACATTAATATGTGTGAACTTTAGCTTAACAATTACATCTTATTGCTTCGGTTTTTTCCTTTTTTTATTGAAAAATGGATTAATCCTATGATTTTGCCCATGAGGTACTAGAGGAGGTACAAAATTTGGATTAAATCTTTTTGGTGGAAAAGGTAAATTAGGTCTGTGTTGATGTGCAAACCTATTATGATTTGAATTTGGAAAATGATGAACTGGTATTGACATTAAAGATGGAATTCCAGAGGCTTGATCGTGTGTTCTCTTGAGCTTTTGTTTAGGCATCTTTCCATTGGACCGAGCTGGTTGATGATTTACAAAGTTAATCATATCAAATTCTTTTTCAATTTCTCTTTCAATCCTCTTATAAGCGTTTATATTTGGCCTGATTATAGGTTCAGGTATTTCTTGATATATGGGAACTGGTACAGCTGGCACTCTTTCAAACACTGCTATGAAATATCCTTGACACCCATCATTTCCTGGTGATAAACGTAAACAATTGTTACTGCATATGTAACCTGGTATACACGGCGTATTCCATTCATGCCATAACATTTCTTTTGCATTCATTAAAACATAAGATCCTTGAAGATTTCCCAGTGCTTCATCCACTAACATTTCTCCTTCTTCTGGGTATACTGAACAAACTGTGTATACTACTCTCTTGACTTGTGGAAAACAATGAAGTATCCGTCTCAAAATTCTTCTTAATGAATGTTGGTATCGAAATCTTACTTCTGGTTCTGTATTTCCTAATCGAGCAAAAATTCCAGAATATGTACAGTTTGGATTTATCAATATATATTTGATATCATTTGCTTCAGGACCAAAATGTATATCATAGATATCATCATCAAATATATCGACACAATGAACACTACTTAATTCTACTAAATCACATAATTTTTCAAATCTCTCAGGATGATTTTCCAAGGCAATAATTTTCCTGCAAAAATATTTTTGAAATTAATGTTTATCTACTAATATTGTTAGATTTTTTTCAGTTTATGGCTCCCGTACCCATGATTGCCCAATATGTTAGCAATATGGTTAGTTTGCAATCCAAATCCTGCACATGCATCTAAAACTAATGATCCTGGTTTGGGATTTAAAAGATAAGATGAAAGGCAACTTCCCTGTAAATTCAAATAAGTTATTATTGAGAAAAATATTATAATTATAACAAATAGTAACCTACTTTTTCTTGAATAAGATAGGTTCCTATTAAAAATGCAGGATGCTCTCGAAAATTTGTTCCTGGAGGAAATACAAGAACTTCAGGTACATGAAAATCTCTCATGAATTCCAATTTCTTAATGCGAGACAATTGGATCAAATGATTGGAATATGAATCACAAAATGGTAAAAATTTCCATCCTTCATCTTGAAACTGTTGGATACCTTCATCAATAGATTTTACCAATGTATTTACCCGAACATAAACTGGTAATGAACCTATAAACAAATCATGTTAACAAGAGATTTCATCAATAAAAATAAAAGTAAATAAGAAATTACTTTACATGGCAAAGGTGGCGATATGAATGAGTGATTTGCATTAACAGCTTCTAAAAATGTTTCTCTTATGTTTTGTTCTAGAGATTTGACAATTGACACTTCTTTTGAATCTGACATTAAAATTTGAGATCCCCATAACAAGTCAGCTATTAAAATTTGAACTATTGTTTCTTTTTTGAATTCCTCTTCGTAAAATGCTAAAATGTCAAGCTCTTCAATGAGATAATCGATAATAGGAGCATACTTCAATGCTGTCTTTGCTAAATCATAAGCAATTTTTGGATGCTTCATAAAAACAAACAAAAATACAGTGTTAGATTAATCACTTACATTAAGAAATAGTTTTTTGCAATATCAATGCATAATGACTTACTTTTTTGAATAAATTCAAACTTGTTTCTAAGGGTTTTTTATTTTTAATAAAAGCCTCTAGAGCATCTGCAGCTTTTTTGTAAACAACTGGTAATGATTGTGGAAAAGTGTTTTTACTGCTATTTGGTTGGTTGAAATCTAAAAAAATAAAACTTTATGTAAGCAGGAAAAATAGCTACGTAATTACTTGTAATTTTAGCTAACCATTCATATTTTTTGTTTCAAACAAACCGTTAAGTTTGAAATGATAACACTGTCAAAATAGCAATAACCTATAAAACTAGAGAAAAGTTCCAGTTTTAATCAGAAATACACCGACAGCTTCGTTGACAGTTAAAACCAATAAAGTACTTGTCTTATATTTACATTCCTTGGCAACTTGAAAGAAGAAATGGTACATATAAACTTGGCGTGATCGATTCGAAAAAAATTATCACCTACGTCCGACACCGACACTATGTTTATCTCAGTTTGATGCCGCTGTCGGCTAAGTGCAAAATTCAGTAAGCAATCGCTTAGTGATAGGTCACGAAACGAGTCAAGCTGCCATTAGGCAGCCGCGTAAGGACTTTTTCTTTCTCCTTATGTGTTTTGTATTAAGAATCTATATGATAGTAGAAGGTTTAGTTTCATTTGACGGATTTGTTTTAATATTTTTGTTTAAATTATTGCAAGGGGACGGGATAGGAATTCTAATTAGAGAGTGTCTACCAGTTGCCAAAGAAAATTTTATTGTCTGCACATTATTAGATGTAAACTTACATACATAGATTCATGCTTAAACGGGTTACTTTGGCGCCGATAAAATGTCACTTTCACCGATGAAAGTAATTTAAAGGTAAAAATAGCTGTTTCCGCTACGATTGTTCTTCAATCGGCTTTGTCAGGGATATTTTATGGATTCTTTTGATGAATCTTCAAAGAGACAAAAGAAAATCTTGAATTAAATACTTATTTTCTAAATGAGTTTTTTCGTCACTTTTATAGAATAAAAAGATCACTATTGAAAAATATCAAGTATGTTGGAGAGCGTCAATAAATTTTATATCGATATTCGAATTTAGGAATCCTTTGAGCATCCTTTTAATTATCGATACTTTTCCACTTATTTTTTAATAGTTATCTTGAATCAATTGATTTGAATTTCGCATCTTTAATCACCATTTTTCTCAGTGTCCATGAGGTAGAATTTATTCGGATAATTAGGAATCATTTACTTAATTTTTCTCCAAAAGTTTATTGTTTTTTTTTTAAATTTAAACATTTTCTTTGCATAACGAAATGAAATTGAATAGAAGTACACAAATAAAAATTTTTAAATTAGTCTTCTGAACTTACACATTAAATTTTATTCGTTGACCGAATTTTAATGCGAGAGTAATGCACTGAATTGATGTGTTTTTTGAGATCACTCTTAATTATAAATTTTTTTCCACATATTACACATTCGTGTTTGAGACTCTTGTGCTCTCTATCGATGTGGATTTTGAGATAACCTTTAGTTGTGAACGACTTTTGGCACATCGCATTCTTGAGTTATTTTGTGATGCACCGAATCAGTGTGAGTTTTCAGATTACTCCTCTGTGAAAATGTCTTGCCGCAAATATCGCAAGTATGCGTGATACCATTGTGCACAGAATCAGTGTGAACTTTCAGATTACACCCGAGTGAAAATGTGTTGCCGCAAATATCACATGTATGAGTTATTTTATGGTGCACCGAATCAGTGTGAATTTTCAAATTATTCCTGTGTGAAAATGTCTTTCCGCATATCTCGCATGTATGTACACCCATTGTGCACTGAATCGATGTGGTTTTTTAGATTACTCTTTTTGGTGTACTTCTTTCCGCATGTATCGCATGCGTGGGTGGCACCATTATGCAGCACACCAATGTGAATTTTAAGTTGACTCTTCGTTGAGAATTTAGATCTGCATATATCGCATTCTTGAGTTATTTGATGATGCACCGAATCAGTGTGAGTTTTCACACTATGCTTCGCATGAAAACTTTTTGCCGCATAGATCGCATGCATATCTAACACCATTATGCATCGTTTCGATGTGGGTTTTGAGAACATTTTTTTGTGAAAACGTCTTGCCGCATTTACCACATACATGTTTGGCACCATTATGCGCTTTTTGAGATTACCTTCCAATGAAAATATCTTGTCACATATATCACATTTATGGATGATTTTAGAATGCTTCGGATCAGTGTGAGTTATGGCATGCTTTTTCAGATTACTCTTAGCTGTATATTTCTTTCCGTATATTTTACACGAATGGGTTTTATTATCATGAAACGAACCGATGTGTGTTTTGAGTCTATTTTCGTTGTTAAACTTTTTTGAAATTCTCCTTTTTTTATTTTGTTCGTCAAATTCACAATCGACATTCAGATTCGATTCCTCTGCAGCGTCATCAATAAGTTCTTGCAGGGCCGTAGCCAGAAAATTTTTTCGGGGGGGTTTACCCGGGTTACTTATGTAGCTTGGGTTACCATTAACAGAAGGTAAAATCCCAAATTTCGGGGGGGGTTCTGACACCCAAACCCCCCCCGCTGGCTACGGCCTTGAGTTCTTGTTTCACTTCCCTCATAGGTTCTACTTTAATTATGTTTTGAGAATCATCGTCAATTTTTTTTAATTTCTAATAAATTAATATTGGGCTTGACATCTTCACATTCAACAACTACTTCCACTTCATCGTCAAGTTTCCTTTCAAGTTTAATGTCACATTTTTGAAGGGTACGTGTCTGTTGAATGGAAATTGGAAAAATGTAAGAATTTTAAGAAAAAAAAAAAAAAAAATAATAACGATAACGCGAGCTATACAAAATTATCAATACTTACAGAATTTTCTGCGGGAAATGGTGAAAGTTGGAGGTTCTTTAGACCGGGTTTCTCGTCAATAGTTCCACAATCATTTTTCCTAAACCACCAATCAGTAGGTTCTTCTTTTAATCTGAAATGATTTGGAATAAAATTAAGTATTGTGTCGCAATATTTTCACAATTTCACTCTCCTAAAGTGAAAATACCTGACAGGAAAATTAAGTGTATCACTGGATTCCACCTTTCTCGCTTATAATTTCGTTAAGATGTAAAATTTCCGCGATGATTTTGCATATCAAGCTAACTACACACCGAATGACTGGCGAAGACTGCTGTGTTGTGCTCGTTATGCGTCGAAAAGCTGTGTCAATGCGAAGAGCGCCAGCTGGTGCTCGATCAGCTTCGAACACAATCCTCTTTCGCAGCTAAATGCACGGCAAAACACCGCGCGCCGGGCTAACACGAAGGTTACGCATACCGTGCAATACGTAAACAAAATAGAACGATCGCAGTTCTCTACAGATATGCTGATCGTCAGTCTTTAAGAAACTAAAGTGACATTACGACCAATAATAACAAATTATTAATAAGTTATAAGCATTTGCGTCATTCATGGATTTCATTCATAATTTCAGTTCGTTCGAGTGCTGCGAGCGTCAAAAGCTAACGAGCTTATCGTCATTTTTCATTCAAAATTTTACGTCAAGACGATTACATCGACATATTTTTCTCCGCAAAATTTCGGGCGTAATTTTCTGCTCGAGTTTGTCGCTCGCGCGTATCTTTTCTCAAGCTTACATATTATATCGCATTTTACTCCTCCGCTTATTATAAAGTAAATCTCGCGCCAAAAGTTAAGCGCGAGAGACTGAGTTTTGTCATGGCGTATAGTTACCGAACTTGTATTTTGCACTTGTGTGGATGGCACTTGCACGTATGACAAAGTCTTACGCTCGCTTGGTAGACAAAGTTGATTTGACGGCCTTTTATACGCGATCCCGACCGATACATCTTTTTCTACTTTAGATATGCATTTAATTCCTGGATGTGGTAGAATACCGATGAAAACCGTATTGACATGGGCGTCGGGAGCGAAATTCGTTATACACGATAGGTATATTTACGGTACCGCAAACGAAATTTAATAAACCAAAAAATTACCTCGAGACCAACCGCAGTTTCGCGTTTAAACAATCTGAAATCGAAAAAAGAGAGAAAGAGAGCGGGGCGCAATTTCTGATTGAAGCCCGCGGCACAATGACAACAATACCGTACGTGTGTGTATCGCTGGCTAGAGCTTGATTTTTCCGCCAAGTTTTCTTGTTATGATATTTTTGCAGTGCGCGCCGCACAGAGAATAACAATTTTTATTTTTCAAGGCAGATGAAATTAAATCTCAAAACGCATTCGAGATGGGTTAGTTATGGATATCCTCTCGTGCGTTAGAAACGAAAAAGAAAAAATAAAAATAACCAGGCAGTCGGTATAATAGCGATGCGAATTCTGCCAGTTACGAAAAATTCGGTATGCCAAACGTATACGCGCACGAGATGCATGTACAACAACAACAACAACAGCAGCAGCAGCAGAGCTCCGAGCGAGATTTTCTTAATTTTTTATATAAATCCCGAGGCCCCGGCTAAACGAAACGAGGGCAGCGAAAGCTCGGCTATCTGGATTTTAATAATACTTTTGATGTTCAATTTAATCTCTGCCCGGACGCGTACACTACATCTACAGCGAGAACGTTAAATCCTGTATGCGTCCGTGTGCCGCGCATTTATATACGCAGCCCGAGAGTCCCAGGAGGGTGTGTGTGTGTGTGGTTGGGGGATGCAAGGTGATTATTTTATGCAAGTGCATTAAGGTCTTTATAATAATACGGCGTGTAAGCCTTCTGTTCGTTACCTGCGAAACTAAAGCTCGACCTGTACTGTATACTGCAGGTAGTATATAGTAGTACCGCATATACGTAAGTTTGGGTGATCATCATTCCCGCTGTAGCATCTCTCGCGCCCCTTTAACTAATATACGTGCAGTACATACACCCGCGCACACACACGCAACTTTGTAATTAACTCGTAATGCATACATCGTATCTGGGTAGGCGCGCGCGCGCGAGCGTCGGTGGAATAAGTTTTGGGCAATACATAACTGCGCGCGAGCTTATAACGTGCATACGTACGTATGTACGCAGATATCCCGTGTGTGCATATAAACGTCAGGTTTTCCCTTTTTTTTTTGGCTTCAATTATTCATGCCGAATATCGGAAGAAGATGTATTTCTCGCAATTTTTTTTTGCAACTTTGCTTCTTTTTTTTTCTTCGAGTCAGTGTACTCCGCACCTGAACTACTTCTTTTTTGCTTCTTCTTCTTCTCTCTCTCTTTTTTTTATAAGTTAGACTTCGCAGCATGAGATATTTTCCCAAGACGCGAGAGGCAGCAAACATCCTTCGACTCGCTTTTCATCCTTGCCAGGTACTGCTCTTCCTTCTAGAGCCGCGTGTAAGGGATTATTAAAAATGGAGGCTCCTTCCTCTTGCTCCACGTCGTCCGCATGTGTATGTGTGAGTGTGTATATGTGCTATGCGTACGTACACGTATATAACATGCAGTCAGTCGGTTTCAGACATCACATTCCCGTGGGGTTGGCCGAGAGAGAGAGACACGCGATATTTCGCTCTTCTGCGCTGCTGCTGCTACTCTCCCTTTTACAGTTATAAATAAAACGCGTGCCTTTTATGAGATATTTTTTTCTTCTCTATTTTTCAAATGTTTAGAAGGATATGCTCTCTCTCTATCTTGAAACTTGTGTATACGTTTGCCACTTGTCATCTCGGCGGAAAAAACATACCATGAATATTTGATCAAAACGTAAACAAGTCCAAAGGATGGAGCGAGCAAGCGAGAGAGAGAGAGGGAGTCAAAGAAGCTCGCGTGCTGGACCCTCAACGGCTCAGGTGGAACATTTATGGAACGACGGGTTGATTCGTCATCGATACATCTACGAGTGTATAACACACCGTGTGTTTTACGATGACGAGCATTTCGTGAATCAACGAGGAGTGAAGGAGCTGTATGGTATATGTGCGAGAGAGCAACACAGATGTTTCTTGTGAATATCACCATGTGGTTACGTTTTATTTTTAACTCACTTGTATAAAAAAAATAGTTAATTTTTACAGTATTAACGTGTTTGATATAGTTGCGTAAAATATAATTTATAATTAATATTTGTATAGTATCATAAAAATGAAATAAATCTAAATAAAAAGACAGCTTAACGAGGTATTGTCGTCGATAGGAAGAAATCGCGATCTCGTAGATTCGAACCGATCATCGAGCGTCTTTGGCTCGTCGCCGCGGGAGATCGCCATAGTCGTAAGGCGCGATTTCAGCGCCTCGACTGTAAGAACGGAAAGACCGTCACCGTTGGATTCGCCAACGGCGACGTCAGTGGCTTCGGGTCCTGATTCGCGGGCTTTATCGACTTCTTGGGCGGTAACAACCAACTTAACTTCCTCTTAAGCGTCTTTGACTCCGACGGGACGAGCGGCGTCCACTTTCCTGTGGCCACGTCGATGACGAAGACGGCTTCTTTCGGTCCTTTGATTTTTGCGTACTCGAGACAGCTTTTTAATTGCAACGCGGATAGGGGGCTGAGAGCATTTTTCGTTTCCACGAATCGCTCCTGCTCTTTTTCTTTCGCTGCTGTTTCGCTCGAATCCATTCGATTTTCGTGCAAAGACTCGGTTATTGTAGGTGCCCGGTTATTGTCGCTAGGGTTAATCTCTCGAAGCAGCTCGTTCATTTGTTGAACCAGCTCATTCACTTTTTCAGTGGATTCATTTTCGCTCCAAGACTCGCTCCGTTTAGACCTTTTGCGTTCTCTTTTGGAGCTCACTGCAGTCTTAATTTTTCGAAGCCACTTTCCTATTGTTTTCAAGTCCTCGACTTCGTACTAAGATTTCCTTCAAATTCTGGCGGCTTGATTGAGCGTTGACGTCGGAGCCCACTCCGTTGATAATGCAAGTTGAAATTGATTACATTTATGGGCTGAAAAAAGTAAAATATAACAACATTTTGTTAGTCTGATATGCTTTTGCGAGCAATTTTCATATAAATCATAAATATGAATAAGAATAAATGCAATTTTAAATTTAAAATTAAAGAATTATTTCGACAGATCAATTCATTGAAATGTATATCGAGTACACTTCACTTATTTTTATTGACACGAATTTTACTGCGTAATGATTCAAAAAAAGGTTCATTAAAATAAAAGAATATGCTTACTCCAAATATTCAAGACCGAAAATTATAAGTGCTATCAAAATAAAGACGAATACCGATACTAATACTTTTATAAATAGGAATCTATTCTCGTCTGGGATAAGAGGCATTTTGACTGTGATTCGCTCGACTGAGACTCTGCTACTGAAGTAGTTCAGATCCACCGAACCTGCGTGTGATCGCGAACAGCAAAATCAAAACAAAGCTTGGATCATAGCAATCGATTTTAGTAACAATACGTAACGTAGAATAACATGAATTTCTCTGTTTATTAAAGCAAATTGTTCGCTCCCAAGTAACGGCTTTTTTATATCTAATAATATATTGTTTCTGCTAAAGTCAACTCGTTTTCATTCTCATTCTGACATGATAGCTTACGATCATTCTGTTTTCTTTTTATTTTCACAACAGGTCAATACGTTTTTATAAGGAATACAAATTTGAAAGAAAAACTCGAAGGTATTCTATAATTGAGCGAATCTTTGTTCTCAATTGGTAAAAAATTCAATTTCTCTCTTATAATTTTTACAATTAAAAGTATAAGCTTGAAAAAACTGGAGATAAAATTGTAAATAGTTTGACTCTGTATTAGTTTGTTTTTAAATTAAAAAAAAAAAAAGTTCAAAAACTTTTTAATTGTGTTGAACCAAAAAAAAATGACAATCCACTGTCACGTTTTTTTTCTTTTATAAAAAAACATTTCCCAAACAAAATAGAAAATATGTTCGATCGGTTACGTAGTAACCGTCGTTGTTTGTTATCTATTGATTGTTCTTTCGCCTGCACCAGTCATCACTTCGGCGATATCCGTTCAAAGCTGTTGATTAATAAAATCATAAAAAATACTAAAAACATTTATAAGTTTTAAAATTATTGAAAGCGAGAGACAGCTTGTTTGCTCTCTTCTCGATCGAGACCCCAGCCAATTCCCGACTGAATTGGACTTAAATATTTAAATAAAAGGAGTGAGTTTTTTCTAGCCTCGCGGCTTTTTTCTCACTATAAACAAAAAAGATTGTGTTCCTTTATTTTTATTTTAATTCATTAATAGTAGAAATTTTCCACAAATATACGGGACAACTTTCTGGAAAGGAGAATCCCGCAACAAAATATTAATATTTATCAGCGGTAATGCAAATGTCACAATGAAAAAAGAATCGAACAACGTCTCGTTTGACACGAAGGCAAACACCGCCGGCTGATAAAAAGTTTGTACTTAATTCTCGGAATCAACGAGCGAACGAAGTTACGCCAACAAAACGCATCTTCGTTCGTAATTGCATCGGACGCGCGAATAAACAAAAAAACAAAACAAAGTAAACCCATTCGTTTTCCCAAGCAGCTCGAGTGAGGCATCGACGCTTCGCATTCGCTATCTAGATCGATGATAAAAAAAATGCGCGCACGAATATTTCCTCAAATAAATCGCGATGAAATTTAGTAGCACTGACATAGATCTTCGTTTTTCCCCGAAAGAGAGCAAATTTTCCTCGAACGAATAATTTCCTCCCGAGAGACATGGGTAAATACGAGCTTACCCGCGGCAGCTGTACGCGTTGGGGGGAAAAAAACTGCTAATTCGTGCAAGTATAAAAGCTGGCGGCCAGAGCTTCCATCGATATTGTATTCCTTGCTCACCAAGTCTACACCAAGTGAGTACAACGATCGGTAGTAGCCGATCCCGACATGTAAATTACATTCGAAATATTTCTAATTGTTGATTTTTCTCTTTCAGCTCAGCCAAGATGATCAGCTTCAGGACCTGCAGATTGTTCGTATTGATGGTCGTTGCCATGCTCATGCTGTCGTTCGCACCCAGCGCCATGGCCTGCCTGAAGAAGGGCAAGAAGTGCACGGCCAGCGGATCCCGCGGCAACTGCTGTTCCGGCTTCTGCAATCAAGCCGCTGGCAAGAAGACCGGCAAATGCACCTAAACTCAACGTAGGCTCAAGTGGCAATGTTGCATACTCGAGTCATTTTTCTCTGGAAATGTAACTTTATTGTCGAATAAATCGAGAAAATTTGAAAAAGTAACTCTAAATCGTATCACTTTATGACCCGCTACTTGTCGCTTATCATAATTATGAATTCGCTGCAAAATCTATCGACATTTCGAACGAATATACGCTTGGGTAAAACCCGCGCATCTAATAAACATTAAGATGTGCAGCCGTACTTCAATTTAGCATACTTCAATAATACGTGACCTAAAGAGAGATGTAAGTGAGCCAAAGGAAGTTTATGCAGAGAGAATCTGTACTAGTTTTCCGTTGCCATAAAAAACTTTTGAATTTTTTTTTCAAATTTTAGTAAATATTCGTATCTTTGGGGGAAAAAGTGTAATGAAAAACGCATCTTTGCGATTTCAAAGTTGAAGTATTACAAGCGTCGCGTAACTTTTCTTAAAATGAGTTTTTGCGACTAATCAAAGTTAAAACAAATTAGTTCAAGCCTCATTGAACTATATCTCGCGAATGAAATGTTGAAATTCTAGATTTGCCAAGAGCAAGTTCGCAGCTAAAGCTTCGACCTCAATTATCAACATAATTATTGCATTATTTTTATTTCGAACATTTTTAAATTGTCAGAATAATAATTCATACGTTAATGTAAGCTCGCGTATAATACGATAACATAATTTGTCCGAATGAAACATCAAAGAACAAACATACATAGACTCTATTGGCGCACGTGAATTCGATTATAATGATGCGCTCATCGAATATCGCAGAGCACGGCAGGGTACGTAATTTACTCCTGTCATTCGTTACATTCATCGAATAATTTCGATCATTTCGTAAAATCAAATCCTGTATAAAATTCTTTGAAACGAATCCGTCCTAATCATTGGTTCAATACTATATCGGTGCAATAGCGAAAAATTAGTGTCGATACTTCTTCTCTCGAGTTTTACTGCCTATTGCCGCAGTTGAGCATCAAAATACATAGAGACCAGTGTTTGGTTCCCATAAGATTTGCAGCCGATTTCAATCCCCTTACGCGTCGGGGGCAATTGAAAGGACCGATTCGTTATCGCGCGATATAGAGGAATTTCTGCAGCGAGCGCGTCCGATGTCGCGCGGCTGTTAATACGACGCGCACGTGCGTATGTTGTACGAGCGTACAGCTGCACTATGTATACACGAGACGACGAGCGAGGAAGGAAAATTCCGTCTACGCGAATACACAGACACACACACACGAAGCGGAGCGAAACTTCCTCCTTATCGCGACGACTATATCTCGGGTAATACGTATCTATATGGCTATATATGCAGCAGTACGCAAAAGCCAGCTGAAGAGCGAAAGGACTGCATAGCAGCAGCGGCGCATCGTTTATGACACGGTGTGCGTAGCGGCGTCTTCTCATCTCTCCGGTCTCCTCCCCTCTCTATCTGTATATGGTACAGGGCAGGCAGCGTGGCATCTATACCGGGCGTGTGCTGCAGTGCGTATACGTGGCTCGCATGCGTTTCGAGCTTTTGCACGTGACTTTAATACTTGGGCTGCTGCTGCACTTTGGTGTTATATCCTAAACTTAAATACTACGCGTATACCTGCACTCGCGGTGGGAATGTGTGTGTGTAGCGCACGAGATAGTTCGCTGCAGGTATAACACGTGCGTGTGTATACGAGCGCGGAGCATCGGAGGTGTCGTTCGCGCGCACGTATACATACCTACCAGCTCGACATCGCGGAGGAGCGTAGCAAAGCAGCGGGACCCGGAGCAGCAGCACGAGATATGGCCTTGTATACGAGACTCTCTGCAGCCCCAGTTGCCACGCAAGAAGTTTCGTATATACGCACGGCGCTGTAAGATGTATATTAAGCACGCGCGACTCTCTTGATGCCGATGCTGCTGATATCGTGCATTTTCCGAATATTGCACCTAACGCATTTACAGGTCTGCACAAATACGTACACGTAGCATTACAGGTTCACCCACGCGATCGTAATAATTTACTATGTCTTAAATGTAATGGAATCACGATGGAGCTCTTTATACGGGTTTAATTTATAACATACGTCGGGCGTCGTATCCTTATAATGGACTTTATCGATGAAAGAGCGACGGAGGAGCTTTTTTTTGTACAATCAACGTCGCGCAAGCTCGCGAGTACTCGTCCATCGATATAGGATATATACCTGCCAACCTTTGTCGCTCATAAATAACATTATGATTCAATATTTCGGAAAAATGTATCGAGGCCTGCGAGCGCGCAAATAAATTCGCCTGAGCCGTATACGTGGCTCTTCTACTAAACCCACACCCCCTTGCACACACATATACACACGTATACGCATACCCCCTGGAGCGCTTAAAAGCCTGTTAGTGTCATATTCGGTCAGCTCGCCCCCTGGCATACAGTAATACTATATATACATATTGCCGGAGCCTCGCCGGCTTCAAACTTTTATGCCGCGCGCGTGCATACAGAATGGCCAGGGAGATTCCGTTCCGCATTTGATGAAGTTACGCGAAGGTATTTTTTTAAAGAGGCGCACGGACGACGAGGACCGTATAGAGTACCGTACATATCGGATGTAGAGAGAGAAAAAATAGCGGATGAGCATCGGCTGACTTTGATCAAGCTTTTTTAACGGCCGCATACACCAGAGAGACGGCTCGGTGTGTGCGCGTGTGTTTTTAATACGCGAGGTACAAGCCGCCGGGTCATTTGTCGCGCTCGATCGACGTCGTTTTCACGTACGTGTATTATACATACGTACGACACACATATAGATCCTGCGTGTGTGCGTGCGTGTAACTTTGAAAATAGCGTGGATGAAATCTATTATGCATCGGCTTAAATATTATATAGTGCATGCGGATCGTTGTATCAAAAGCCTTTTAAAAGTTTCCTATCAACTAAATTCGGATCGATGGAGTGTACGGATAATTCATGTCGTTTCAATTATTGGACTGAATAAAACATTCTTTTAATCGTTATCTTTAAGTCTATAATTAATATGCACTAATGATGAAATTTAATGGCCGTGAGTGACGTGGTATATGAAGCCTTTGTAGAACTTGAGGTTCATGTTGAACATGATCGACTCGAGGCGATTTTGCTGATTCCTGCCGAGACAGAACGAATCGGCCACGCCGACGACCGAGTTATACTCGTCCAGCAAGGGACTGCCACTGTCGCCCTGAAAAACACCAGTGATATGTAAATTAAAATTCACGCTAAAAAAAAACAGCGGACGAAAGCGTGTGTCGTTTCCTTACGCATTCCAAGGTGGCTGCGTCGTCCGACTTGGTGCACAGGATATTGTGTCGCATCAGCAGTACCTCGTTGGTCGACGTGCGGTAATTGGCGTGACACTCCTCTAGCGGAATGACCTTCAGATCGGCGACCATCAAGTCGTTGACGGTCAAGCCCTGATTGGTGTACCACCAGCCGATGGCTCTGACGTGGCCCGAGTAGCCGTCGGGTATCAGCGACATCGCCGCCGGAGAGAAGTGATCCACCTGGCCCCAAAGCTATATAAAATATACAAAGAAAAAGAAAACAGCTGTAATTTTTGTCTCCAGATTGGAAATAATAAAATTTCGTCATGCGCACCTTCAGAATAGCGATGTCGTTGTCGCCAAACTGCAGCGGCACTCCGTGTTGCTTGGCCCACTGGTCGTAGGTGATCCAGTGCTCGACCAGCATGATGTGTCCCATGACCGAGGCCGGTATCTGAAAGTTCACTTGGACCTTCATGGGCACCATCAGGCCCGGCAGATCCGGCTCGTCGTTGAGACAATGGGCGCAGGTGAGCACGTGCTGCTTGGTGATGAGCGAGCCGCTGCAAAAGTGCTGACCCTCCGGATCTCCGGGAACTCGGATTCGCAGGGACACGACGAACGGATACTTGTGGCCGGCGACGGGATGGCTACCTTGGCCCTCCAACGGCGTGGCCGAGGCGAGTAAGTCATTCTGCTTACCTGTGTATGATAGAATATAGAGTTTCGAATGCGTCGTAAAATTTAAATGATTGAAAAGTTTTTTATATACATAATACGAATAATAGTACGCCTATGAGCGATATTTGTAACATTTTGTCAATAAACGGGCTGTAGACTAATTTTACTTGAGAAATTTCGTCGAGGAAAACGTCCAAATTCGTACAACTTTTTATGTTCCAGTCGTGAGCACTTAAAAAGCGTCACTTGTTTTCAATTTTGACCTCAAATTACTGGAGGAAAACGTGGCACCACGTGCCAACGATCGTGATTGCTTCATAAAATTTTTTTCCTCCTTGAGAAAATGTCACTGCAGTTCGTTCGTTACACTCTTTCCACTTAAATCCATGTTGATCTCACTCGGGTCCGTATATATAAGTGAATTTACACGCGCCATCGACCCTCTGTTATTTTTACCGATTAAATGCAAGCGTCTATTTCGGAGTTGTTGCAGTGTATATATATATAGGTACGGCATATATATCGAATATGAAATTTGTGGCAAATTACGCGTTATGCATGCGCACACGTTAAATCTAATCCCAAAACTAGATCAGCATATAGTTTAGCGGCGTCGGCGTATACAGTAATATCGGAGTATGGTACGAATGGCAAGTCGATATCTTATATACGTGTGTATGTGTGTGCACGGCATTACATACTCGATGACGGCCAATTACTCCAAGTTCTATTAATTGATCAATCATCCTTCTCTCTCTCTTGGCATATAGTCCTGATGCTGCTCTAGGCATCGCACGTATATGATATAGACTGTAGCGCCGGGGCATATGCCGCTACATCAGCGCGCTGCAGCTCGACGTCGGCCCAAATGAGATGTGTATAGGAATTAGCGTTGAGAGAGCGAGAGCTGTATTACCTATATACATAATGCCTCTCGGATCGCGCAGACATCATCGTCGTCGTTTGCTAAGAGATCGATAGAGCCAGTTAAATTCTGACGGATGCGCTCAAGTTAACGGCTCGATGACACGTGTGCTGTGCATGGCGAGAATTCACGAGTGCCTCGCGCGAACGATGTATCGACGTTTCCACATACTGTGTACGCGCGCAGGGGATGACGATCGCGTCCACACCTATATCGATGCCGAAAATTTGATCCGTACGTTGCGTAAGTTATTGAGCTTCGCATTATGGTATACATTTGGCAGGTTGTCTGAACATCTTCATTCGTTTTGGCCAAATCTTGCTCGACTACGATAAAAATTAAACATTATTTTGGTGAAGATACACTTATTCAGATACGCTAGTTCAGTAATTAATCGATGAACAGAAAAATATATTTTTCTTAGAATCAAATGATCTTTACATTTTTTACTAACTAATATATTTTCGGGCGTAAATAATGATTAATCGTTGATCGACATCATTACGGACGCTGCTTTTATAATTATTTTCCGCGTATAATTCAATCGATAACGATTGAAGAAAAGAAAGCACAGCATCGAAATAAAGGAGCAATCCAATATTATACATCCGACGTATACATCGTTGGCGCGCACTTACGTATTATACATTATACACGTCGGAGTAATTCACTTGTCTTAATAAGCATCATCGTCGGAAGCGTATAAGCTTCCGCAAGTGAGCTTATCCTTGTCAAATATTATTATATATATATGCTACGTCGCACGAACGACTCAAGCTCGAGCAGTTTCTATCGTACACATATCGTGCGTATAAGTATGAATGCCAGGGCATACTATCCATATACTACTCTTCGTATACTATGCGTGTGTATATACCCAAGGAGATGAATCAGTCAGGCGTGACTTTCTATCCTCGTGCCTTTCATTATTGGTTCAATCGAGCGCAGATGTATATCGCGTGTAGTACGACGGTAGCACTTTGGTATACTCATAGGTAGGTACAGGCAATGCGTATACGTACACTAGATAGGATACGACGTACGACGACGATATGCGAGTGCGAGGCGCATCTCTCTCTCTCTCTCTCTCTCTCTCGAATTCGCACTCGATCGTGAGCGGCATTTCCACGCATTATACTCGCTGAGTACGCACGTGTGTATTATTCGTCCTTATTTGTCTAATGGGCGACGAAGATCGGCATATCCGAGATACATACACTGTTGCGTGTGTTATAATGACGCTTGGAGAGACATTTGTCGGGCGATCAATCGATTAACGCTGCAAAGTGTGCTTTGTATTAGACGTACGATAAGCAATGTCATTTCTTCCGTGATATAGTTTTGCAACGTTTTACGACTTCGAAATTTCAGGACAAAATTTGTACAATATATTTTTTAATTAAACTATTATAGTTACACGGAAAAACTAACGAAGAACAGAGAGCTGTGCTGGCGCTATATATTGTGAAAAAAACTGCGTCCACTTGCGAACAGCACCGGATTAGCTCCACACAGCCTTCTTATTCTTCCGTGTAGCATAGCGCTATGGAGAACCCGGCAAAGCAATGCGTATTACTGAGCAATACACGGACAAGAGGTCATGCATTATGCGACGCACGACGTACATAACGGAGCGACCACACGAGCTCTCGGCGTTCTTCCTTGGTTTTCTCGATTAGTTCGTCCAATTATCATCGCAGAATGACATAATTGTTAACGAAATCCTAAATAAGAAAAATAGAATACAGTGGATCATTTAACTGGTAATTTGTATTTTTTAAGAATGCAATTATAAAAATATCTTAACAAAATACTTCATTTAACCCATTAGCGCCCAGACGGACACTTTTTTTAACTGAACTTCGGGCAAATATCTTTACCATTCCGAATTTTACTCAAAATTAACGAGTGTATGTTTCTAACTGAAAATTTAATGCCCTTTTCGAATATGGCTTCAAAATTAATCTTAAAATTATTGTTCAAAAGTTATAAACAATTAAACAAAAAAAAAAAACACGAATTAAAATAAAAAAATCGTTTTCAACTCGAATTTTAAAAGAGAAATAGGCTTGATACATGGGTCCCGAGCACATTAAAGGTGTCCATGGGATGTAAACTGAAAAGCCCAATATCCATAATATCGAAATTTAACATTTTTCATAACAAAATGGCGTTTCGTAGAAAAAAGACCGTATATAAGCTAAACCAATTTTTTTACATGACATGGATGCATCTAAGAAAAAAAAAGTATATAGAAAAAGTTCTTAAAATTGTTTAAAGAACAACCCTGAATTTTTTAAGAATTTTTCGAGAAAATTTTTGAATTTCCGAAAAATGATGAAACTCAAAAAATCCAGAATTATTCGAAAAATTCTGAAAAAATTCAGGAGTGTTCTTTAAACAATTTCAAGAACTTTTTCTCAGTAACTTTTTCCCCTAGATGTATCCTTGTCATGGAAAAAATTAGTTAAACTTTTTCTTGCTTTTAGCTTATGTATGTATCAAGCCTATTTCTGTTTTAAAATTCGAGTTGAAAACGATTTTTTTTTTTGATTCGTGTTTTTTTTTGTTTAATTGTTTATAACTTTTGAACAATAATTTTAAGATTAGTTTTGAAGCCATAATCGAAAAAGGCATTAAATTTTTCGTTAGAAACATGCACTCGTTAATTTTTAGTAAAATTTGGAATGGCAAAGATATTTGCCTGAAGTTCAGTTAAAAAAAGTGTCCGTCTGGGCGCTAATAGGTTAAAGAGGAATTTTCGGCCGAGTAACCTAAGTAATCAACTAATCGAGGGGAGAGTTATATCTACTTTATTACTAAAAAATAATGTGAAGTTGCTTTTTTGATTTATACCTCTTTAAAGGAGCATTTTCAGCTGAGTAACCTGAGTGATCTACCTACTCGAAGGGAGAATTATATCCAATTTTTTTTCAAATAATGTGAGGATGTTCGTTTGACTTTTAGCTGTGGAAAGAAGCATTTTTGTCCGAGTAGCAAAAGTAACCCAAGTAACCCATATAACCCATATAACCCATATAACCCAAGTAACCAAAGAAACCCCAAGTAACCCTAAGTAACCCAAGTAACCCATATAACCCAAGTAACCCATATAACCCATATAACCCAAGTAACCCAAGTAACCCATATAACCCAAGTAACCCATATAACCCATATAACCCA